TGACACAGAGAGAGAGAGAATACAAGCAGGGGGGAGCAGCAGGCAGAGGGAGAGGGAGAAGCAGGCTTCCCGCTGAGCAGGGAGCCCGATGTCAGACTCGATCCCAGGACGCTGGGATCATGACCTGAGCCGAAGGCAGACGCTTAACCGACTGAGCCACCCAGGCGTCCTTTATCTATCTATCTATCTATCTATCTATCTATTTATTTATTATTTATTTATTTAGAAGCATGCGTGAGCGGGGAAAGGGAGAGAGGGACTCTCAAGCCGACTCCCTGCTAAGTGCAGAGCTCGACGCAGGGCTTGATCTCACCACCCTGAGATCATGGCCTGAGCCAAAATCAAGAGTTGAATGCTTAACTGACAGCCACCCAGGCGCCCCTTAATTAAAGTAGTCTGCTAGGCTTCTTTGCCTATTAGTAGCAGTTTCGGGAGTTTGGTAAGGGGATCCCATCCCCCACTTTTGTTTTTATCTTCCCTGGTTGTCTTTGGATTCTTCTCCTAATAAGCCTTATTCCCGGTTATATGACAGTCTTACCAGGCTTATTTGTAACATTGTGCAGATCTTTTTTCTAGACCCTGAGACTTAAACCATCTAGTAAATGTTTAAAAACTAATAGTATTGACTATACGTGTTTGTTAGCCTTTTTGGTAAAGAAAACCGTTACAAAGACTCTTAGTATAATCAGTCCCTGTTATCTTTCTGTGTGTATATAGGGCTTTAGGGCAGATTTTTTTTTGTAATCTTTATGAATACATTTTAAATTGTTTTCTTAGGTACTACACCATGTTTAGGATTGAATTTAGATATTGAGTGATGTATTTACATATTTTCTTTTAAATTTTTTCAGTAATGGCAAATGTGACCCATGTCAACCAGGATTTGGATCTGTTCTATTGAAGGCCTTACTTGATAATATGTCATTTTTACCTGCAGCGGCAACTGGTGGTATGTGAAATTAGTTTAATCACAAATAGCAGTAGTCCTAGGAAATATCTCACAATATATTTGGGATTATTTATAAGTATTTTTTTCCTTGGTTATTCTGCCTTTTTTCTGTAGCTTCTCTAAGGGGTTGATAAATTGTGATTTATTAGATGGGCAGAGCTTGGAAGAAGTGAGAGAGTTCAGTAAATAGCAAGTCATCTTAATTCATGCTTTTTCTGTATTTCATTAAAATCATTGAGTTGTTTGGTCATTCACTGACTTTAGATCAGATATCACAAATTTGCTAAAATGCCAGCAAGAGCCAGAGAGATGACATAAGTAGAATGCTTCATGCAGGTGTTGTGTGTGATTGGTAGGCACTTTGGCAAACTAGGACTCTCTAAAAGGGGCCAGTAGGTTTTTCCAGCACCTGAAGACTATAGAAATGCCATTGAAGAGTGAATGTGGTGTTTAAAAACAAAAAAAAAGAATGAATGTAGTTACCAAGTAGTACTTTACAAAGCAGTCCCCTAAAATAGCACATATATCAAGTAATGAATATTTTAAAAATATTTTAAAAATATTCTTAATGCTGTTGTTTCTATGAAGAGCTACTGATTTGTCCTTCTAAACCTAATGTTATCTTTTTGTAGACATTTCTTATAGTCTTTTGTTTAATAAATAATCAACTTACTCAACAAGGATTATATATTTCACAAGGATTTGATCTTTGTGGTATTGTAGAAGAACCTGCTCAAAGTTAGTTGATAAATGGTTATTTTATCAATATCTTAATTTGCATAAAGAATCTGTATGTTTACCTTGGACATAAACTGGGCAGAACTGTTAACTCTCTGTTCTATAGAGTAGAATGTTTTGGACTTGATTGCTTACTCTAATAGTCTTGGAGTTTAAAATAGTTTCTTGGGAATATTCTTAGTGGTAGGATGCTTAAGTTCTGGGGTATATTTAGTACTTAGATATCTCATATTTTATAAAAGTCTTAAAGTGCATCATGCTGATCGTTTTTTAACCATGTGGGTTTGTATCTCTCTAACTGACAGTATAGGATGACTATATTCACTTGGCAGTGTGTGTTATTGGTACCTCATAGCTATCCATTGTTTTTGAAAATTTTAGTATAAACCAAACAGTATTTCAGGAAGGATGGCTTGGAAGATCTGATACCTCTGTACTTTTCCAGCTATTCTAAAATGTCCCTCAGTGTCATCTCACGTTACTGAGAACCTAAATGACTAGGTTGACTTATATACTCCTTAAAAAAAATATTTCAAATTCTCTGTCACTGTCCTCTTAGTGTCCTTCAAGGAATTGGTCCATTCTTTAGAGGTTGTTTTGTAAGGGGACTTACTGATAAATACGTAACCTGAAGTTCTCTTTGTTGGGGAACAATGAGGAAAAGAAACATTGATTTGTTTTTATTGTTTTCAGGTTCTGTCTATTGGTATTTTGTCTTACTGAATTATGTTAAAGATGAAGATTTGGCTGGGTGCAGTACAGCTTGTGCATCTTTGCTTACTGCTGTGTCCAAACAGTTACAGGACAGGCTAACACCAATGGAAGCTTTACTTCAGACAAGGTATTTTGTTACACGTAATGACTAACAGTGGGCCTTGCAGGATTTGATACCAGCTTTGCACAGAACTCTCTCGGTATATGTATTTGCTTGCAGAAATATATTTATGCATTGCCTTTTTCAAAATATTAGCCTAAGGTTTTCTTCTCCTCTGTTTTCTCTGAAATAATTCCTTTTACAATTTGGAAGGTCCTGAAAATGGTTATTTAGAGGACTAATTATATAAAAACTGAGATTCACTGAATTTAGTGGGTTAAAATCTGGTTAGTGTTTCCTTTTGCCCCGTGTCACACTGCTTTCAAAACTAAAGAAATAGGTAATTTGTTAATTAGATGGCTGACAGGAAAATTGTTAGGACATTATTTTATTTTTCAGATACGGATTATATAGCTCACCATTTGATCCAGTCCTTTTTGATTTGGAGATGAGCGGTTCTTCTTGTAAAAATGTATACAACAGCAGCATTGGTGTCCAGTCAGATGAAATTGATTTGTCAGATGTCCTTTCAGGTAGTAACATCTTTTATTAAAGGAATTTCTGATTTTTACATATTTGGTTTAAGCTGCCATTGACTTAACAGACTGTAGTGACTATGTTCTGTCTTGAAAAACTAAAATTCTTCAGGACTTAACCTTAACATCTGTGAATCATGAAACTGTTTGCCTTTATTTCATAACTTCTCCCTTTAAAAAAAAAAAATTGAAGTTATTTTGGGAAGGGTTGTGAATTTGTTTTTTGTTTGTTTTTTGTGTTTCATTGCATGTCAGTATAACTTTAATGCTCATAAGAGACTTTAAAATGTGATTATTTATTGTAGCCTTTTCCGTTTTGTTTGGTATGCCTTCAGTGTCCACAAAATCAAAGAATGTCTTATTTCATATTTCAGAAAATAAAATGAATATATATTTATAGTAATAAGTATAGAAAAAAAATTTTCTGTATCTACTAGCATACTCAGTTAAACTTTATACAGTGTTACATGTATTCTTGTGTACATTTCTGAAAGAATATGATTTTAGGATTGAATGTATAACCTTTTCAGGTGCTATAGTTTGGTGTTTATTTAGTTTTGTTATTGAAAACAATGAGCACTATTTTCTTCCATCTTACTGAACTTACTGTAAGTGTTGCCATAAACCACAGTGTTAGAATTTTGGGTAAACATAGTACGATAATTATCACATGAAGTAGCAGTCAGTTTGGGGAGTTAATTTCATTTTCTTTTACTTTAAAGTAAATTGTGAATTGTGAAAAAAAGCAAAAGGGAAAAATCAAATACAGAAATAAAATAAAATGTAAAGTGCCTTAATTACAACCTTTCCACCCTCTTAGATTACCTTTGTTAACAGGATGTTTAGCTGTTTAGACTTGTTTGCTACACATATTCATGAACATTTTTAATGAAAGAGATCATACTATACTTACCAATCTGTTACTTAACTTTTTAGTGGCTTATGTTGCCGTGGGTATGTGTTACCTCCTCTGCTTGATGACTTAGGCTCTGCCTACTTTATGCTGATCTCTCTGTCCAAGTGACACATTAGTTTATGAGTGGAAGTCAGAGGAGAGGTTAGAACTCAGTATATAGATGCCTTCTGTATACCTTAGGATAGAATGAGATTCATTATGGAGAGAGTGTAAAGAAAAGACCATAAAGCTCAGGTCAGGCCAGGGAGTTAAATACACGAGAGCTGCACACTCAATAAAGAAGAGACTTAGAAATCATGACATAAGTCTCCATCTGAAAGTCTCATTTTATTTCTCACCATTAATCCTTGTGTGGTGTTCCTTTTCTCAGTTAATGGTGTCACTGGCACACATCAGAAATCTGAATTTCATCCTTGATACCTCCTTCGCAGCCTCCACATTGAAGCTGTCAACAGACCCTATCTCTTTTTACACCATCATATATTTCAAATCTATTCTCTTGCTTCCCATGATCACATGATTACAGGAAAGCCAGTCATCTTGAATCTGGACTACAGTAATAGCATTCTAACTGGTCTTTCTGCCTTGCTCTTGCTTCACTTGAGTACATTCTCCACATTGCAATGAGTGCCATCGTTTTTGGATGCAAACCTGATCACTTTACCTCTCTCCTTAAAATACTTTTCATGTCTTTGCTTTACCCTGCAGTCCAAAGTCCCTGTTTCAGCATATAAAATCTTATATGATCTGGCTCTCTTTCCCTTGCCACCTAATCTAGTACCATTGCCTCCGTTAATCTCCTCTCTCTGGTCTAGTGATTCTCAAAGGGTGGTACGTAGACCCGCTCAGGGTCTCTGAGATACTTTCAGGGAATCCGTGGGTCAACTATCTTCGTGATAGAACAATATTATTTGCCTTTTTCACTGCATTGACATTGGTACTAATTGTGCAAAAGTGTGATGTTCTCTACTCTGCCCTTGCAATGAAAGATATGTGAGTTTCACTTTAAAATGTCCCTGATGAGGCAGTAAAACTTACTAATTTTATTAAGTTTTGAACCTCTTGATAGTCATGTTTAAAGTATTCTGTAATGAAATGGGAAATAGGCACGAAGCACTTTTGCTTCATACTGAAATACCATGGTTGTTTTAAGGAAACACACTTGGGCAGTTTGAGTTACAAGCTGAACTAGTTGCTTATTTTATGGAACACCGTTTTTACTGCAAGAATGACTGATGTGCAAAATATGTTTATTCATACTTGATTGTTTGGTAGGTGTTTTTTAAAAAATGAATAGAAAAAGCCTATCAGTATCCATCCAATTGATAGTGTTTCTTGCCAGAGTTAAAAGAGCTTTTAAGTAAAAATTAGAATTTTGGAGAACTTGCTTCATCCAGTGAGCTTGACAGCTTCCCAGTATATAACAACTTTTCTGGTGGCCTATGTTGATATTACTGAATGTCATTTTCTGATACATATAATGAAATGTGTTAACATATGTATATAGTGGTCAACCAGTATTTTCCAAGTGGGTAAGAGATTCCTTAAAAGTACAGGAAGTCCAATTAATATTAACATTATAGAGTTTGAGAAGTTCATCTGTAAGATTCCAGAGACCAGGGACACCTGGATGGTTCAGTAAGTTAAGCGTCCAGCTCTTGGTCTCAGCTCTGGTCTTGATCTCAGTGTTGTGAGTTCAGGCCTTGCAGTGGCTTGAACTGTGTGGAGCCTACTTTTAAAAAAAAAACAACAAAAGATTTCAGACACCAGATTGCAGATAATCTTCAAAAAAAGTATTACCACTTGCCAAAGTTTTTGAATATGTAAGACTATTAAATATTCCCTTTCCAACTGCGTATCTGTGATAGGCCAGATTTTTTTGGTAAAGCTCTTCCAAAACAACATCCTGCAACACACAATGTGGAGATGGAAAGGACAATACAATTACCCTCTTTGATAAGCCAGATTATTTGTTTATGTATTTATTCATTCATTCATTCATTCATTTATTTATTTGACAGAGAGAGACACAGCGAGAGAGGGAACACAAGCAGGGGGAGTGGGAGAGGGAGAAGCAGGCTTCCCTCTGACCAGGGAGCCCGATGCGGGGCTCAATCCCAGGACCCTGGGATCATGACCTGAGCTGAAGGCAGACGCTTAACGACTGAGCCACCCAAGCGTCCCGATAAGCCAGATTTTAGAATTTTGCAAAAATGTAAAACATTGCCACTGTCATAAAGTTATTTTTGTCTGAAGATGGTTATTTTTCATCAGAGTATTCTATTTCTATCTAATGAATTTATTACTATTACATGAGTTATTCTCATCCTAAAATTTCTGCTATTATGAATATCTATCTACAACCAACATAGATGAAAGTTCTTTAAGAGTTCTTAATCATTTTATTTTATTTGTTTAAAGATTCTATTACTTGATTTTATTTTACACTAGGTGGCAGGCACAAAGCAATCCTCCTTAATAAAGTTGACAATTAGCTTCACTCAGAACACTTTTAATAATGCACCTAAAAAAAAAGTATTCATCTTACAAATTGTTCTGCAATCCAAATATACAATAGCTTGGAAAACAACATTTAGAAAACAAAAGCCAATGTAAAAAGACAGATTAAAACAACTAGAACAGTACAGGTCTCATGTGGCTCTGATTTTACAGCTTTCTTACTGCGTCATCAGTGTCCGCAATCTGTTCCTTCCACTGGCTGCACTGCTCGGGATTTAAAGAAATACCTTTTCTTCCAGGTTTCATTTCACCTTCTGGATCCATCCAATATTCTCTAATATCAATTAGGACTTTCCCTTTAAAGTTGCGAGCACTGGCGTAGCTCACTTTCCCAGTCTGGAGCGTGTTCCCACCGCTGCCCCTGCCGCTCTGCTCAGAGGATGACCGGGCTCTCAAAGTGTCACCAGTCTGGCTTCTTCACAGGTTCTTCTGGAGCAACTTGTTTTTTCCACTTAAACTTTTTGTCAGTCTCACTGTCAGAATCGCTGCCAGAAGAGCTTGAAGAAACAAGTTCCTTTGATTGAGGCATTGCTCCGCTCTCGTAGCTGAACTGCCTTCTCGCTCGCTTGCACCTGACCGAGAACCGCGAGTTCTTAATCATTTTAAAGATATATAGAGGGGTGTTTGGATTGAGAAATGTTCCTCCAGCCACCTTGTTCCTCTAGTTCCTCCAATGTGCCATACTTCTTCCTACTGGAGAGATTTCACTCATGTTGTTTCTTTTGCCAGGTTTCCCTGCTTGGAATAAGTACGTAAAAATGTCATTCTTCCCATAAATCTCATCACCTCATCATGAAAGTATTTTATTACTCCTTGGCTTAGACTGATTTCCCCTGGACTTACTAGTCCTTTGAACTTCTTTTAAGTAAAACATAGCACTTTTTTTTTTTTTAGTTTTTACTTAAATTCCCATTAGTTAACACAGTGTAATATTAGTTTCAGATGTACAATTTAGTGACTCAACACTTAACTTAAAACACCTGGTACTCATCACAAGTGCCCTCCTTGATCCCCAACACCTGTTTAACCCATCGCCCCCTCCACCTCCCATATGGTAACCATAAGTTTGTTCTCTTAGAGTCTGTTTCTAGGTTTGCCTCTCTCTTTTTTTCCCCCTGTGTTCATTTGCTTTGTTTCTTAAATTCCACGTGAGTGAAATTATGGTATTTGTCTTTCTCTGACTGACTGACTTCACTTAACATAATACTCTCTAGCTCCATCCATGTCATTGTAAATGGCAAGATCTCATTCTTTTTTATGTCTGAGTAATATTCCATTGTATACACCATATCTTCTTTATCCATTCATCAGTCAATGGACATTTGGGATCTTTCCATAATTTGGCTATTGTAGATAATCTGCTATATGCATTGGGGTGTGTGTATCCTTTGAATTAGTATTTTTGTATTCTTTGGGTAAATACTTTGTACTGCAAATGCTAGATTGTAGGGTAAGCACTTTTTTTAAAGTTCAGATGTATGATTAGTTGTCTAGTGTCTAGTAACCTGTAACACAGAGTAGGTGTTTAATGAGAACTGGGGCCTGTCCTTTTCTCATGTATTTCTCATGTCTAGTATTAAGTGCTCAATAAATACTTTTTTTTTTTTTTTAACATGTGTCAGGTCCTATGTTGTGCATGAAATGTTGGAGAACAGGGATATGACAATTTAGTCTTGCATTTAATTTAGTCCTTCAGATGTTGATAGTTTTGTATCTCCCCATTCTTTCCATCTTTGGTTTCTGTTTAATTTTATCTATTAAAGAATTCTGTTTAAAGCAGCGCTAATTCCAGAAAATTTGGACAGTACTGATAATAACCCCTTTCCCCCATACCACATAACACTTTTAATTCTTTTGTGTTCTTCTGTCTTGTCGTCTTGCTGTGGTTTTACGGTTCGCATAGTTGTGATCATGTGAATTATTTTATTTTAATTCTTTTCAACTACATAGGCTAATTTAAACTACAGTTGACCCTTCAACAACAAGGGTTTGAACTGTGCGGGTCCACTTATATGTGGAATTATTTTCGATAAATAGAGTGCAGTACTGTAAAAGTATTTTCACTTCTTTATCATTTTCTTATTAACATTTTCTTTTCTCTAGCTTACTTTATTATAAGAATAAAGTATATAATACATATAACATGAAAATTATATGTTAATCAACTGTGTTATCTGTAAGGCTTCTGGTCGACAGTAGGATAGAAGTAGTTAAGTTTTGGGGGAGTCAAAAGTTACATGTGGATTTTTGCCTGTGAGCTTGGCTGGCACCCCAACCTCAGCATTGTTCAAGGGTCAGATGTATTTTCATGATTATAAAGTAGTAGGCCTCATTCTAAAATTGATAATATATACCAAATACAAAGATGTATTTATAGATGAATCTTGATAATATTTTAGAATGTTTCTTCAGTTTTTACTTAGTGTCATATTTATACAGTTGACGTGAAATAATGTATTCTGATTTTATGCATTCTTAACAGATTGTGTAATAGCTAATATTAGTAGCTGGTTCATTATTTTTTCCTCGTTTAAAATCTAAATCACTTGTTACTGTTTCATATTAATGTGAATGGCCACTAAGTTGCTTTTATGCAACTCTGCTTTTTTTTTTTAATTTTATTATGTTATGTTAGTCACCATACAATACATCATTAGTTTTCGATGTAGTGATCCACGATTCATTGTTTGCGTATAACACCCAGTGCTCCATGCAGTACGTGCCCTCCTTAATACAACCATCACCAGGCTAACCCATCCCCCTACCCCCCTCCCCTCTAAAACCCTCAGATTGTTTCTCAGAGTCCATAGTCTCTCATGGTTCATCCCTCCCTCCGATTTCCCCCCCTTCATTTTTCCCTTCCTTCTCCTAATGTCCCTCTATGCTATTCCTTATGTTCCACAAATAAGTGAAACCATATGATAATTGACTTTCTCTGCTTGACTTATTTCACTTAGTATAATCTCCTCCAGTCCCATCCATGTTGATGTAAAAGTTGGGTATTCATCCTTTCTGAAGGCTGAGTAATATTCCATTGTATATATGGACCACATCTTCTTTATCCATTCATCTGTTGAAGGGCACCTTGGCTCTTTCCACAGTTTGGCTATTGTGGACATTGCCGCTATGAACATTGGGGTGCATATGGCCCTTCTTTTCACTACATCTGTGTCCTTGGGGTAAATACCCAGGAGTGCAATTGCTGGGTCATAGGGTAGCTCTATTTTTAATTTTTTTGAGGCACTTCCACCCTGTTTTCCAAAGGGGCTGTACCAACTTGCATTCCCACCAACAGTGTAAGAGGGTTCCCCTTTCTCCACAACCTCTCCAGCATTTGTTGTTTGTCACAAAATTGACAAAAATGTCAATTTTTGCCATTCTAACTTGTGTAAGGTGGTATATCAATGTGGTTTTGATTTGGATTTCCCTGATGGCTAATGATGATGAACATTTTTTCATGTATCTGTTAGCCATTTGTATGTCTTCTTCGGAGAAGTGTCTGTTCATGTCTTCTGCCCATTTTTTGATTTGACTTGATTATTTGTTATTTATTTTCATTTTTTTTCCTCATTTAAAATCCAAATCACTTGTTACTGTTTCATATTAATGTGAATGGCCACTCAGTTGCTTTTATGCAACTTTGCTTTTGCAGCATGGAAACAAGTATCTTCTGTTTGTTAGTTTCCTTAATCCCGTGTCCTTTGTGGAAGCACTCTATAAGGGTTGTGTGTTTATTTATCTTCTCTAATTGAAATTGAAGTAGCAGCTATAAGTTTCCATATGACTATTGCCTTTTAAAAATTAATTTACATAGCATAAAACTTGTCTCTTTAACAGGAAATGGAAAGGTCAGTAGTTGCACAGCTGCCGAAGGTAGTTTCACATCTCTCACTGGACTTCTAGAAGTTGAACCCCTGCACTTTACTTGTGTGTCCACTAGTGATGGCACCAGAATAGAAAGGGATGATGCAAGTACGTTTACTGGTATATACCTTCTTTTGTTATTCACTCTTTCTATCATACATTTTATGCAGAAGTAAAATCAAAGTGATTTTTAAGTACTTAAATATCAGTTTATATTATATGTAAGTTCCTTTGGTGTCATGTTAAATAGAAACTTATTAATAGGGGGGAAAAAGCACAAGCAGTTCATAGTTTTTTTTCTACCTTCTAAAACACTGTCTTAAATCCATTTGTTTTTATGTGTGTACATTTTTAGAAGCCCTTTAATTTGGAAAATATCAGACATAACAAAAGTAAAGGGAAAAGTATGATAGACTACATTTCCTTAAGCCTCAGCTCTCCTCAACTGTTGGCCAGTCTTATGTGTAGTTTTGGCATCATAATGTTATTTCTTGCATTTAAAGCTCACAGAATATTTAAAGCTCACAGTATACAATATCTTTGAGAAGGTTGAGAAGAGTGAAGAGGGAATATTATTTTTCTAGATATTTTAAAGTACCTTCAGATATATGAATCAATATTTGAAAGTGTTGAATATGTCATGTTATTGGTGTTTTAAATGAATCAATGGGAACTCTTGTTTTTTTATATACCTTCTTTTCTGTGTTTTTTTTTCCCTTCACATCATAGGATCAGTATTTATACTTCTGTCTTGGTGCAAATAATTGAAATTTTTATAATTAAAAACATTGGATATGGTTTTATCTTTATCTTACAGTCACAGAAGAGTTTGAATATTGTCTTGAATGAATTCAGCTGTTGATGGTTTTGTGTTTTGTGGATTTCTTTTTGTTTTCATCAGCAGTGTAACAAAGTAAAAACAGTTTGCTTGAGAAGCTACAAAAAATTTAATCTTAAGGGATTTTTTGTTTTTTTTTTTAAGATTTTATCTATTTGACGGAGAGAGAGAGAGCAAAAGCAGGGGGAGCAGCAGGGAGAGGGAGAAGCAGGCTCCCCGCTCAGCAGGGAGCCCAATGTGGGGGTCGATCCCAGGACCCTGGGATCATGATCTGAGCCGAAGGCAGACGCTTAACCATCTGAGCCATCCAGGTGCCCCTTAAGAAGGGTTTTAAAAGGAAATTACCAGTTCTTCAAGTGCCTTCTTAAATTCAGAATTATCTTATGTCTTCTAATTGTCGAAGTAACCACTAAGTGAAATCTTTGGCTTATGTAATTTACATGAGACTTTTCAATTAAAATCTAATCTTTCTCTTTTATAGGGATGCCAAAAGGATGAAATTTTGTGTTTGTTTTCTTGGATTGTTATAGTCACTTTGTAGAGACATACATGTACACTGGAATAGAAAAATACATGACAGGATATTGAATTTTCAGAGAACTCTTTTTGTTATAAATCACACTCTTTCTTGGAACTGTTTTGAAATTAAGGGTCTAAAATTCGTGTGTTTGAATAAGTAATGCTTTTAGAAGGTATGAAATTTTATAACAGATGTAAGAGTAGGTTTGAAAAAGAGAAGTATTCCTTCACACTCCCTTTCCTCTCCTATAAAGCAAGCAATGGAACCAGTATCTTTTTTTTTTTTTAAGATTTTATTTATTTCTTTTTTGAGAGAGAGTGAGAGAGAGCACATGAAAGGGAGGGGGGAAGGGTCAGAGGGAGAAGCAGACTCCCCGCTGAGCCGGGAGCCCGATGCGGACTCGATCCAGGGACTCCAGGATCATGACCTGAGCCGAAGGCAGTCGCTTAACCAACTGAGCCACCCAGGCGCCCCTGCAACGAGTTTCTTTAATTTCCAGAGATAGTAGTGTGCCTATACAAGCAATCATATCTGTATTTCGCCCATAAATAAAACCACCACCAGCAGAGGGATTTTTATTAAATGTTAGGGCAAAGTCTTGGCTAGTGGTCATAAGTTGCTTAGAGGTGACTACAGTCTCTCAACTTCTTACTTACTTTTTTGAAACATGTTAATTGTGAAATATGATGCTCTTATGAAAAAATGCAGAAAACAATTGTATAACCAGCAATTTATGACAAACTGTCCATGTGACCACCAAATCAAAAAATAATATATCCAGCACTCTAAAAGGTATCTTCATGTCCCCTTCCACTTACTTTTCTCTCGCTCTCTAAAAGGTAAACACTGTCCTAACTTTTAGAGTAGTCATTTCTTGGTTTTTGTTTGTTTCATTGTATAATCACTTAATTATGCATTTCTGATCGCTGGTTGAATAAAGCCTTTATAATATAAATTTGCTTTTATGTTTTTTTGATCTGCCTTCTGTTCAGCGTTATTATTGTTAAAGTCATTTGTATCAGGGCATGCAGTTACTTGGTTCTTTTTCATTGCTATTTAAGATTCTCTTGTCTGCATAAAACAAAATTTATGTGTCTACTATTGATTAGCGTACTACTGATTGCTCTTTGGGTTATTCCATTGTGATGCTTTTAGTGCTACTGGATATACTATTTTCTTGGATATGAATGTACAAGTTGATTTGCTGTTTCATAGGTTTTCCATATATTCAACTTTAGGAAGTAACATTACAGAAATGTACTTCTTAATTTCCAAATGTATGAGGATTTCCTAGTTATCTTGCTGTTGACTTTTATTTAAATTGCTATAGGGTCAAAAATTACTCTCTCAGTCTTGTACACTGTGTTGGGAATTGTAGAGGATCAGTTTTTATAAATATTCCATGAATACATGACAATAATGTTTACTCTGTACTTGTTGGTGAAGTGTACTCTGTCCGTTTAGGCAAATTTGCTAATTGTGTCGCTCAAATTCTCTGTCTTTATTAACTCCTTGGTTTCTTTTAGTTCATAAGATCAGTATGTTAAATTCTTGTTGCAGCACCTGTGGAGGTGACTATTTGAGTTTCATCAGTCTCTATTTTATGTATTCTGAAACTACCATACAAGTTTAGAATGCTTGTATCTTTCTTGTGAATTAATCTTCCATCATTAGGAATTATCTCTTTATCTCTGCTAGCTGTTTTTCCTAAAATTACTGTGTTTAATATTTATATACTTTCCATCATTTTTTGGTTACTATTTGTATGATAAACATGTTTCCTTCTTTTTACTTTGAACTTACTCTTTCATAAGCAGCTTGTAGTTGCCTTTTTTTAAAAAAAAATATTTATGTATTTGACAGAGAGAGAGTGGGAGCAGGAACACAAGCAAGGGGAGTGGGAGAGGGAGAAGTGGGCTTCCCATGGAGTAGGGAGCCCGATGCGGGGCTTGATCCCAAGATCCTGGGATCCTGACCTGAGCCAAAGGCAGACACTTAAGGACTGAGTCACCCAGGCGCCCCTGTAGTTGCTTTTTTTTTTATTCCAGTCTAATACTTTGTGTTTCAGTTGGAGTATTTATTTACATTTAATGTAATTACTAATGTATCTGTATTTAAATCTGCTATGTTTTTAATATACAAGTATTAGATTTCTCCTTTTGCTAGTTACATGTTTTTCTCTTTCCTTCTTTTGGGTTTTTATATTTTTATTGAGCTATTTTTCTACTTTTTACTATTTTTAGCAGTTATCCCAGAGATCATAATATACACATACCCTTGATACTCAGAAGTCCAACTGCTTTTTGTACTATACAGTGCAAATATCTAGAACAGTTGTCACCTTCCTGATTTAGATGGTGTTGTGATTTTATACCTTAATTTTATGTGTATTTTATTCCCAAATACATTATGATAGTTTTTTATATTCAGTATTCATTTGGATTTGTCTTATAATTCCATTTCATCCTATCTTTTCCTTTCTTTGCTTTTGAACTGAAATCAAGTATGATTTTCTTTGTTTGAAAAATATTCTGTAAGATCTCTTTTTGTTCTTGTCTACTGATGATGAATAAGCTTAGCTTTTTGGGGGAAATTTTCAAAATTATTAAAATAATTAGATGAACAAACCACACAGTCATTATCCAGATTCCAATATTATTGATGTTTTTCACATTTCTTTTAACTCTTCTTCTTTGTTGAAGTATTTCAAAAGGAATCCTAGATATTATATCTTTTTTCCTTTATATATATATAAAAAACATATAACCTTAAACAATGTGGATATTCTCTATAATAACTGATGCCATTGCCATTTTTTATCGTAATATAAACTATAATTAATCCAGATGCATTTTTATCATAACCAAATAAATTAGCATAATCAATTCCATGTTATGGTCTGTTTCTCATCATAATTAAATTTATCTATCATAACAATACATTTTACATTTGGCTTATTAGATTTAGAGGTGTCCTCTTCATTCTTGAAGTATGTTTTGACATAGAATTCTAGCTATTATTTCTCTTAGTGATTTAAAGATTATCTTTTAAATTACACTGTGTTTGTTAAACCTTACCTGTTGGTCTTATAATTCCTCTTTTAAGGTCACTGTAAGTTCTCAAGCTGTTTTTGAGATTCATTCATATTGTCTTCTCCTTTCCCCTGCTGCCCCTTTTTTAATATTAAAGGTTTTATTCATTCATTCATTCATTCATTCATTCGTCGGAGAGAGAGAGAGTGCACAAGCAGGGGAAGTGGCAGAGGGAGAAGGAGAGGGAGAAGCAGGCTTCCTGCTGAGCAGGAGCCCAATGTGGGACTCCATCCCAGGACCCTGAGATCATGACCTGAGCCAAAGGCAGACGCTTAACTGACTGAGCCACCCAGGCATCCCTCCCCCACCCCTTTTTTTAGCATTTTTCTATGATGTTGCTATATGCTGTTTCATTTGTATTTATCCTGCTCAGGATTCATAAGGCTTCTTGAATCCTTACTTAATACCTTCTACCGGGCGCCTGGGTGGCTCAGTTGGTTAAGCGACTGCCTTCGACTCAGGTCATGATCCTGGAGTCCCGGGATCGAGTCCCGCATCGGGCTCCCTGCTCGGCAGGGAGTCTGCTTCGTCCTCTGACCCTATCCCCTCTCATGTGTTCTCTCTCTCTCATTCTCTCTCTCTCAAATAAATAAATAAAATCTTTAAAAAAAAAAAAATACCTTCTATCAGCTTTAGAAATATCTCAGCCATTAACTGTGCAAATATTGTTTCTGGCTTGTTTTCTATCTTCACTCTTTTTGTATTTTTAATTTCATGTGTGTTTAAGGTATATAATTTATTGGTTTGATGCATTTATGTATTATAGAATGATTACCACCATAGCAATTCCAAGTGTGTTACACCTTATCAGTATAAATGATATAATTCTCAGTTTTTTAATCTCTCCTTTTACTATGTATGGGTATTTTTTTCTAATTCATCTTAGTTTACTAATTCTATCTTTTATGTAATTATTTATGGGGGGGAAAAGCACCCTTCTTACACTCTACTGCAGTGTTACCTCTGTTAGAAATTATGTCTCTGCTGTTGGCGTGGGTCTGTTTTTTTCCATTGTTCAATTTGTCTAGCCTTATGCCAGTACCTAATTGTCTCAATTATTATAACTTTATATTAAGCCTTGAAATCTGATAGTATACATTTGCCAGGGTTTTATTTTTTCTTCCTTCTTTTTTGGTAGATTTTAAAAATTGATTTAAAGCTTGTTGTGTAGTCATTATCAGTGTAATTCCAGAATATTTCCATTACTCCACAAAGAGATTTCATAGTCATTAGCAGTCACTCCCAGTTTCCCTTTCCCCGCCATCACCTATCACTAATCTGTGTTGTTATTCTATGGATTTGCCTACCCCATACATTTGATATAAATGTGGAATCATATAGTTGTGGCCCTTTTGTCTGGCTTCTTTCACTTAATATGTTTTCATATTTCATCCATTTAGCATGTATCAGTACGTCATTTCTTTTTATGACTAAATAGTATTCCATTGTATGGATGTACCACTTTTAAAACAACTTGTATATACCTCCTTTTGTTTATCTGCTGAGAAGTTAGCAGGCATTTGGGTTGTTACTTCTTTTTGTCTGTTAAGAAAAATACTGCCATGCAGCATATTTGTTTTCAGTTCTTGAGTATATACTTAGAAGTGGAATCCACCATTTTTCTTTTAGTTTTTCTTAAAGCTTCTATGTCTTTTTTATTTCCATTTTTCTCCAGTTTTATTGAGATATAATTGACATATAATTTTGAGCAAGTTTAAGGTATACAGTGTATTGGTTTGATATATTTATATATTATAAAATGACTACCACCATAGTATTAGCTAATACCTCTGTCCTGTCATGTAATTACCAGTTCTTTTTCTGTGGAGAAAACATTTAAGACTACTCTTAGCAACTTTCAGGTGTATAATACAGCATTATTAATTATCAGGATGCTGTACATTAGATCTCTGTATTTCCATTTAAATTTTTGAATCAGCTTGACAATTTATACGCCAGAAAGCTTATTATTATTATTTTTTAGAATTTGAATATAAATCAGTTCAGGAAAATTGACATCTGACTATTAAGCCTTTTATGGGGCACCTGGGTGGCTCAGTCGTTAAGCATCTGCCTTCAGCTCAGGTCATGATGCCAGGGTCCTGGGATCGAGCCCCGCATCGGGCTCCCTGCTCAGCAGGAAGCCGGCTTCTCCCTCTCCCACTCCCCCTGCTTGTGTTCCTTCTCTCGCTGCCTGTCTCTGTCAAATAAATAAATAAAATAAAATAAAAATAGTAAGCCTTTTACTTCATTAACATGGTATATTTAGTATATTTAGGTCTTCAGTTACTCCATGAGATGTTTTTTAGTTTTCACTGTTGATGTTTTGCACATCTCTTTTAGATTAATCCCTAGCTATGGGATTTTTTTAATGCTATTATAAGTGATATTTTTCTGAATTTTATTTCCATTTTTTTTGGTTGCTGGTGTATAGAAATATAACTGATTTGTGCATATTAATCTCCTATGTGGGGATACTGCTATATTAGCTTACTAATTCTTACAGTTTGTAGATTCTTAAGGACTTTTTATGGACACAGTCATGGCATCTGTTAAGAGTTTTACTTTAGTGTTTTCCTAATCATTATAAAATTTAGTTCTTTTTCTTGCTCTTTTGTGCTTTCTAGGGCTTCCTGCATGATACTGAAAAAAAATGGTGGTCATAGTCATTTTTATTTTGTTCTCATCTCCATTATTTTTATATCTGGTTTTTGAGGCCCCTAGTGTAAAAATAAAAAAGATACTGAAAACTCAGACTGGGCAAAAGATTTTTAAAATTTGTTGTAGTAAGATGACTTATTTCTTTTGGATTGAGTGTTTTTGGTGACTTAATTCATTTTCCCATAAGTATTATTCAAGCATTGGATTTTAAAGTGAGTAAAGGGCTAAACTCCACATGGTTAATATTGAAAATTACTTTAATGACCCAAAAAGTACAAGTATAATATCAGTGCTTCAGTAAGTCTAATAATTACCCCTCTAGAGTTGGAATTAATAGCTGTTTCTTTGGTGGACCATTTGATGAAGCGGAGGTATTTCATTTTGGGGCACAGAGCTTATGAGAGTTATGATTGCCCTTTCTTTGACCATACTTGTGTAGTTGGATTCTTGAAAGTTAAGTGAAGTGTAGTATGGCTGTTCTGTAATAAGTGTGTGGGTTTTGTTTTTTTTTTTAAGTTGACACTTCCAATTGTAAGAGGCTATGTACAGTTTCATTTATTGCTATCTTGTTGATTAGAGCTTAATTTTTTTTAATAGTTTTTTTTAAATCCTGGCACAGTACAGCATTGTTAGATGTTAAAATAGGCTGTCAGATACCTGGGTGTTGTTTCCCGCCCACCTTTTCAGGTATTTATGAGCAAATGCTTTCCCTCAGCTTTAGATTCATTACCTGTAAAATGGGATAACAGTAGTACCTACCTGTGTGCCATTGCCAAGATGAAATGAGTTGATGTAAGTTCCGTGCTTAGCGCTGTGCCCTCCCATTGGCTTTGGTTTCCCATAGTCCTTGGTTCCAACTCTAGTTCTGCCACTGTGAGCTCTACAGGAACTTCTCTGAGCCATTAACTAAGAAACAGAGCAGAGTATCTGCTTTTCAGGGTTGTTCATCTGTTGGATATGTAATTAATTAAGACAGCGTCACATGGTAATGCACACTAAACATTTGCTACTATTGTAGCGGTTATCCTTCCCCAATGTAACTTTCTAGTAAAGGCCTGTTATAATATCAGTGTTAATGCTGTTATTAAATTTGACCTTTACTTCTTATTTTGTGGTGACCTGTTTCATTAAGTTGTGAAATTAAGCTTTTACTTAGATTTTTCTAAAATGTTTTCCACAAATACTGGTAAATATTTAATGGGGAAAGAGTGATTTTTATATGGATATTTGAGTAACATTGAAAAGGAAAGTCAAAGAAATTATTCAACTTATAGAAATTTCATACAGTCTTCAAGGATGATAATTTTTGGGGTGCCTGGGTGGCTCAGTTATTAAGCATCTGCCTTCGGCTCAGGTTGTGATCCCAGTGTCCTGGGATGGAGCCCCACATTGGGCTCCCTGCTCAGCGGGAAGCCTGCTTCTCCCTCTCCACTCCCCCAGCTTGTGTTCCCTCTCTCCCGGTCTCTCTCTCTGTCAAATAAATAAGTAAAATCTTGAGGGGAAGAAAAAAAAAAGGATGATAATGTTCATGACTAAGCAGTATGTGCCAGAATTGACATAGGTCAAATCAGACCTATTTCTCTCCGTATTAGAGTTCTGGGGAGCATTTGGTAGGAAACAATTGCTTTACATACTCTCTGTGGGCCAGACTCCGTCTAGGCTATGCTTTGAAATGAGGAAATATAAAGTATCATCAGATTTTTAAAATGATGTTCATATAATTGAAGGTGTTTTTGAGCTTTTGAGGGGAGGGAGAGGAGGTATTGCCAAAGGAAAACTTAGTAAAGCAAATTTCAGTTTATTTGTTATGCTCAAATTGTATAATAAGATTACTCTCATTTTGTGTTTTTATTTTAACCATATTAAATGAAATTTTTTATATGCTGAAAATATTTTTAAGCTCAAAACCATACTAATTTTTCTTTGATTTGGAAGTAGTTCCCAGATTCCTTAAACTTGAATACTGTTATTATCAATCAGTATGCTTTTACCATTAAGATTTTTCTACTGATACTCTATAGATTCTTACCTTTTAAAATGAAACTGGAATCTTAATGTCAAAATAGTGTACTTGGAATATGTTTCTATGAACCTTTTCCTCATCCCTTTTCTCCCCCCTTGTCTTATGCCAGTGAGTTCCTTCGGGGTTACTCCTGCAGTAGGTGGACTGTCATCGGGGACAGTTGGGGAAGCTTCGACAGCCCTGAGTTCAGCAGCCCAGGTAGCTTTGCAGTCTCTCTCTCATGCAATGGCGTCAGCCGAGCAACAGCTGCAGGTGCTGCAAGAGAAACAGCAGCAGCTTTTGAAGCTTCAGCAACAGGTTGGAGACTCTTTGGCTCTTTGTTCATGCTGTCTCTAAACTTCAAAAGCTGAAAAAGTACTGTAAAAATGACCATTATTTTCATAAAGGAAAGTAGGTTGACCGATCTGAGCTAATCAGTTTCTACAAAAATGGAGGTAACGTCTTTGCGATATATCTAAATTTTAAAAAATAAATAAATTTTATTTGATAAATATCTGAGGGAATATAATTGATATTTTGCAGGGGCAGTCTCTGAGTAAAATCCATTCTGTTTCAACACTATTGGTCAAACGTTAGAGTTACCAGTTAGGATTTTTACGGATTGGAGATCCTGAAACGTTTTAGAGATGAATTGAATTCACATGGATTAAAATTTAGTAATAATGGCAGATGCTTTGGCGATTTCATTGTAGTCTAAATGCAGTCTGTGTGATTGTAGGTGACATTATATTAGGTTAGGCACCATGAGAATCTACCTCCTCCTGTTAATATTTTGCTTTGAGGAGAATTTTGTTTCCTTATTTACATTTATTTGTTCTTCTTCGTTTCCACCTTTGCTTTGTGGAAGTCCTTGTTCCCCAAAACACAGGAAATTATATATCAGATATTTAATGAAGTTAATATAGAGAAGAAATACTCAATTCATGTTGAGTCCATTTTTTAATCTAATTTCACTTTTCTTTCACTAAGATCTAGTTCATCAGACCATGTTTATCTCCGTAAGCTCTTTTCCTGGGTAGTACTCCCCACAGTTTGCGTAGGCAGGACTGGTCTATATGTTGTGACTTTTACTTGTTTTGCAGAAAGCCAAGCTGGAAGCCAAGTTACATCAGACGACAGCTGCAGCAGCTGCTGCCGCATCGGCAGCCTCCGCAGTAGGTCCTGTTCACAACTCCGTGCCTTCCAACCCAGCGGCGGCCCCCGGCTTCTTCATCCACCCATCTGATGTTATTCCACCCACTCCAAAAACAACACCACTGTTTATGACTCCACCACTCACCCCGCCCAATGAAGCAGTTTCTGTTGTGATTAATGCAGAGCTTGCACAGCTTTTCCCCGGCTCAGTTATTGATCCCCCAACAGTCAATCTTGCTGCACATAACAAAAATTCCAACAAGTCCAGAATGGTAAATTATTATATTTTAAGTAGGTGTTCGCTTAGACATTTAAAAATATTTTGATGTATATGCTAACCTGAGAAGGCAAACTTTTCTTATACCAACTTGAAACATCAAATTAGATTGTTTAAAGTATTACAGAATATACATCAGGAAATGAGACTTGTTAGTTTAATATTATGGCTATTAGCTTGTATAGAGCAAGAGTAGTATCAATATAGAGTTATACTTTTTTCTTTTCTAGAATCCACTTGGTTCTGGTCTAGCTCTCGCAATTTCTCATGCTTCACATTTTCTTCAACCTCCACCCCACCAGTCCATTATTATAGAGCGAATGCATTCAGGTAATCTTCAACTTTCTTAAAATATTTTTTTTTGCCTCGTCTGTCAGCCCTTTGAGTCTTAATAATTTTCTGTAGTTTGATTTTACTTTGCAAATAAATCCTATCTGTTCCTGGGTAAGTACATTTTACCAAGAATAAGCACTATATGAGGCTTATCTCTGTGCTCACCATGTTGAATGCAGGAGTGCTGCTGGGTAGGGTGGCAGTTTTATCCAGACCCTGAATCTGACCTGTATGTGAATCTTGCCTGTTGAACTGTGATGGACATAAGTATCTACTTCCATTGTAGCTGCTCAGTTATCATGACACTGGAAATTACAGTTCAGTATCCTAAGACCAGCACTCTGGTGTTGAAACCGTTTCCCAAAAATAGCAGATAGAATTACTGCTGATCTTAGTAACTGTGAGTAAGATTAATAACACTCCATGGTCTCGATAATTCAAATTTTACCCAAGTTTGTAGTCATACTTCTGTGCTAGTGACCTGTGACTGGGATAGGTGCTTTCAATGAGAGCACGTTTACATAGTAAACTATGGGCAATTTTAACCTTATAATCCCGCCAAACTGTTAGTTCTTGGCTTGAGCTGCAGCAGAATTCAACAGAATCCTTCTGTGTTTTATAGCAGAGAATAATATGAATGTAATGCATACTGTGTCACCTTTCATCATATGAATAGTTGAACCATATTTGCTTTATTGCACTGGGCTGTTTCTTCTTTGGAAAAGAGAGTTTTTAAAAAAATAATAAAATAAAATTCTTCCTGATGTTTTCTATTCAACTAATCCTTCACTGGTATCGCCATTAGTGTCTGTAACATTTAGAATTGACTTGTTGATGTGCAGTGTTATGAAATGTGAGCAGTTGTTTACATTGCAGTTTGCTTTTTATCAATGGAATTGACTGTAGATTATAGAATTATGTTGTTTTTTAATGGTTTCTCTGTTTAGGAAAGTATTGGTAACTACCTTTTTCTACTTAACTAGCTCCATTGAAAATAGCATGGGTTCTAGTAGTTTAGTTGGGTCCCTTCACTGTACAGTGCCGCTCTTAAGTTTATTAAGTCCTCCTCACCCCAATCTGGTAAAGAAGAAAAATAATTCTATTATTAATGATTCTGTCTACTGTTTGACTAATCGGTCTTATTCCGAAATGTGTATGAGATGAGAGATGCAAATCTGCTCTTTTTCCATTCCTCTCAGATCATTTTTACCTTTCATGAGTGTGAGCATCTCAACCATGCTGAGTGTGATTCTAGTGTTTACACAAAGAGGCATACTGGGGCCACACTTTATTTTTGTTTTTTTAATTTTGATAGGCTTGCTTTTTAATATTTTACAATATATTATAAATATCTATCCCTGTAAGTAACATATACTCAACAAAATTATTTTAAAAGGCTGCTTTGTGTATTCTGTAATATAAATGTATCATAACGTATTTAACAAACCTCTATTGTACATTTAATTCGTGTTTTATTTTGCTATGAATATATATTTCTACATCCATTCCCATATCTGTTTTTTTTTGTTTTTTTTTTTTAAGGTTTTATTTATTTGACAGAGAGAAGGACAGCCAAAGAGGGAACACAAGCAGGGGCAGTGGGAGAGGGAGGAGCAGGCTTCCCGCGGAGCAGGGAGCCTGATGCGGGGCTCGATCCCAGGACCCTGGGATCATGACCTGAGCCTAAGGCAGACACTTAACGACTGAGCCACCCAGGCGCCCCTCCCATATCTGTTTTTAAACTTTTTTTTCTTTTTTCTTTTTTTTTTAAATTTAATCTGTTATATTAGTCACCATACAGTACATCATTAGTTTTTGATGTGGTGATCCACGATCCATTGTTTTCGTGTAACACCCAGTGCTCCGTGCGGTACGTGCCCTCCTTAATACCCATCACCGGGCTAACCAATCCCCCCTCCCCCCTCCCCTCTGAAACTCTGTTTCTCAGAGTCCATAGTCTCTGGGGCCACACTTTAGTGTGGCCCTTGAGAGTAAGCCATCGACTTCACCTGGTACTAAGTGGCTGAAGAGACAGTCATGTGTCAATACCTGGGCAAAAACATTATTTGAGATAAGCTGTGTCTCTCTTTATTGGAGGACATTCCTAAGGGATTTTTTTAGTGGCAGTAATGACTACGTGTGATTTCCGCCTTATACTTTTACTTTACATCGGAGCTGCAGTGTGAGATCTAACTCTGTAAGAAGTTAAACAAGGCTTGAGAAAACTAAAATCAAGCATATAATTTGATATCATTAATGCATCTATTGGGAAATTTTTTTTTTTTTTAAGATTTTATTTATTTATTTGAGACAGAGAATGAGAGAGAGAGAGCACATGAGAGGGGGGAGGGTCAGAGGCAGAAGCAGGCTCCCCGCCGAGCAGGGAGCCTGATGCGGGACTCGATCCTGGGACTCCAGGATCATGACCTGAGCCGAAGGCAGTCACTTAACCGACTGAGCCACCCAGGCACCCTCATCTATTGGGAAATTTTAAAAAAATGACCAGATGACTGAAAGAAGATCACATAGATACTTTTTAGAATTAATCCATATATTATTTTTGATAATAGTTTTTCAACTCTAATGTTTTAAATTAAGCTTGTATGTACAGTTGATTGCTGTCACAATAACAAATTTACTCTTGTATGCTTTTTACTTAAGTCTTAACTAGCATGGATTGAGGTTTCAGAAAATTTTTGAGGGCTACTTATTTACTTTCCCTCCCATCTTCTTGTAGTTTAATAAATTGATTTCATATCTTAAGATGCATGTTCCCAACTGTTTTTGAATGCATCTTTTGGTTAATTGAAACAGTGGTGGTTTTTGTCAACTCTTGCTCTGTCTCTCTGATAGGAGCAAGGAGATTTGTGACCTTGGATTTTGGCAGACCAATACTGTTGACAGATGTATTGATTCCCACTTGTGGAGACTTGGCCTCCTTGTCAATTGACATTTGGACATTAGGAGAAGAGGTGGATGGGAGGCGTCTGGTAGTGGCAACTGATATAAGCACCCATTCACTAATTCTGCATGATTTGATACCACCTCCTGTGTGCAGGTTTATGAAGGTAAAGAACTTCAAGACAATGAATTGATAGGTTTTCCATGTTTCCAACAAGTTATGAAAGATATTCGGACATATAATTAAAAAGTATATCTTCTTAAATACATTGCTCACAATTTTATTTTTGCAGATGGATATGTATGTATATTCCTTTTTTTTTTCCAGATCACTGTCATTGGACGTTATGGAAGTACAAATGCCAGAGCCAAAATCCCATTAGGATTTTACTACGGTCATACGTATATCTTGCCTTGGGAAAGCGAACTGAAGTTAATGCATGATCCTTTAAGGGGAGAGGGTGAATCTGCAAACCAGCCAGAAATTGACCAGCACTTAGCAATGATGGTTGCTCTACAGGAGGATATACAGTGCAGGTTATTAGAAAATTGCAGTATATTTTAATCTTACTGAGACCCTTTATTTTTTATGTCTTACGTATATTTTTCAAGAAATGTCTTTGCATAGATGTATAGAAAAGAACAAAAGGATGGAGCACCTGGCTGGCTCAGTCAGAGGAACATGGGACTCTTGATCTCGGAGTTGGGCGTTCGAGCCCCACGTTGGGTGTAGAGATTACTAAAAAAATAAATAAATAAACTTTAAAAAAGAAAAAGAAAAGAACAAAAGAAAGTAGGAAGCTAGAATGTTACAATATTTGATAAATTAAAATATTGTGATTAGATAATTGGCTTCATTTATTTAGTACTTAACAATTGACTAATTCTTTTTAATGGTTGTTAACATGTTTTAGAGATTTAATTTTTAGTGTATGTTTGTAAATATATATAAAACGGAACGTTGCAGGAATTATTTTGTACATTTATTTTTTATTTACAGGTATAACTTAGCTTGTCATCGACTGGAAACTCTTTTGCAAAGTATCGATCTTCCTCCTCTTAACAGTGCTAACAATGCACAGTACTTTTTGCGAAAACCAGACAAGGCAGTTGAAGAAGACAGTAGAGTTTTTTCTTCCTATCAAGATTGTATTCAGCTACAGCTTCAACTGAATTTGGCCCATAATGCAGTGCAGAGGCTCAAAGTAGCTCTTGGTGCAAGTCGGAAGATGTTAAGTGAAATGTCAGATCCAAAAGATTTAATTCAAACATCTTCCACAGAGCAGTTGCGTACCATCATCAGATATTTATTGGACACTTTACTCAGTCTCCTTCACTCTTCCAATGGTTTGTATTTGGCTTCAGTTCTTTAAATGCTGGAAATGTGTTTGATATGATTTTGTTGCATGTTTTGTTGTTGTTAGTATTTTCTAGTATTGTTCATTTTGATATTCTTTCTAATGTATTTACGAAATGTGTTTGTAGGTTAACCCCTTCTTTTCCCCATATTTCTGCCTTTTTTTTTGTTTTAAATGGATTTTCGATTATTTTTTTTCTTGGGTCTTTGCTTTTGATGTGGTACATCATTTAGTTTGGCAAAATATTAAATATTGTTACTATGAAAACTCTTAATAAATTGCTAACAATATACTGTCCTTTTCTAATCAAGAGCTATTTTTGATCATTACACGTGCACACACACAAACATACATACTCAATTCTCTGAATCACCCAACGCCACACATAAGAAATATAGTTGATTCAGATGCTAGCTTTTGTCCTCTCCCAGTATTTAACAATTAAAATTCTACATAGGAAGAATAAATCAATGAAGAGCAAAATAAATAGAATGTAATTGGTTACTGGTTGCTAGTAAAGAAAGCGTATTTATGTATGCCCCTACTGATACTACAGCATACACTTACATAGGAAATTTTATTGTTTTCTCTTTTGTAATAGGACACTCTGTTCCTGCAGTTTTGCAGAGCACATTTCATGCCCAGGCCTGTGAAGAGCTTTTTAAACACTTGTGCATCAGTGGAACCCCCAAGATACGGTTGCACACTGGCCTTCTACTTGTTCAGCTCTGTGGTGGTGAAAGATGGTGGGGTCAGTTTCTTTCTAATGTTCTTCAGGAGTTGTACAATTCAGAGCAGCTTCTCATCTTTCCGCAAGATAGGTAGGTCAGAAAATATTGGAGTTGTTTTTATTAGTAATTTCTACTTTTCACAGTTAGGGTTCAGATTTTGAAATTCTGTGTATGTGGCTCAATCCTGAGCAGAGAAATGAAGCACGTCTTTCCAGGGTTTGGGAATGCCCAGTGAAGCACGTATTGAAGAAGATTATACATGATACAACTAGACTACATTCTTTAGTTTCCTGGCTGCATCTGTGGAGTTCGTAGATCTGTGTTTACTAGTATTTCCTAACAGATTATGTTACTTTATGTGTTAAGTGTATTCTTTTGAGACTATGATAAAATTCTCTGCTTGATTTCTTATGGATATAGTTAGGAAGTAGAACCAAGAGTTTGAAAAGAGCTAATTTTAACATTGTAGCTCCAGATATAAATCGTGCTAAGAACCACATATCCTGTCATTTGTCTATTAAATTTCAGTGTGAATTATTTTTTTAAATGAGCATATTGATTCAAACTGGTATTTTACTCATATCTCTTTTTTAGGGTCTTCATGTTACTTTCCTGCATTGGTCAAAGATCACTTAGTAATAGTGGAGTATTAGAAAGCTTACTTAATCTGTTGGATAATTTATTGTCACCTCTTCAGCCACAGTTACCCATGCATAGGAGGACAGAAGGTATTATTTAAAGTGGTCGTCTTTAGTAAAAACATAAGATTCCTATAAATACTGCTTTTATAAAATGGCTAGTGTGAAGTACTTACTTTAATATCACTGTACATTTTGTTAATACTTTTATGCTATAGACTTATAAGAATGTAGGCTTTCATGTGATTGACTGCCATATGATTATTGCTTTATAAATCTATTATGTTTTCATTATTTGAATTTTGAACTTGGGAACTATTATGTTTTTTCTGTACTGTTATAATGAAAATCAGTCTCTCTTAATTAAAAGTCTCAATTTTAGGCACAGTTGCTTTTCTCATCATTCATAATGTATTTCATTTGAGCAACAAAATTGTTATTGGAACAAAAACTTTAGAACTTAGTTTAAAACTATATGATTGGGAAAGAGAGATTTTTTTATTTAGTTACCTGAAAGTCTAAGAATAGGACCTTATACCTTGTTTCCTAGTTTATAAATTATTATCTCTTGGATTCAACCTATAATCAAGAATCTGTTTTCATACCATAAAACATTTGTCTTCCATTAGATTCAATGTGTTTGTCAATTTGTGGCCATAGGTTCTAGTTTTGAGGCTTATTATAAATAAATATTAATGTTAGTAGTGATAATGGTGTATTTTGAATTTATAAAATGTTTTATCTCATAATTATCTTCTCAGACTTCATTAGAACTCTTAGAGTCACCTGATTATTTTTTCCACTGTCATCTGTGTATAGGAGTACTAGATATTCCCATGATCAGTTGGGTTGTGATGCTGGTGTCCAGGTTGCTGGATTATGTGGCCACTGTTGAAGATGAAGCAGCAGCTGCAAAAAAGCCTATGAATGGTAAAGACAGGGAGAGGTTTCTGACAGGTATCAGAAGTTTATAATAATCTGTTGGTGGGGATTTTGAGTGACTACGCGGTTGTTCCAGAACTGGCTATTGGCCTGGAGGTTCCAGCTGTATGTAATTTATGTAAAATGTGAATTAAATTTACTAGGAATCTGTTTTAAGGATAGAACTTATTTTTGAGGGACTTAATGAACAAGCCCCTTATCTGAGCATGACTTTTAGTTTCTAGATACAAGCATGTCCTTCATGAGATTTTTTTCCCATGTTCATTTAAACACTTTCTAATACCATACATGTAAGTGAATTTATGAGGAGGAAATCTGGGAAGAGTTCTTTATGTTCTTTGAGTGTAGTGTGTCATTCTATTTGTCATTATGAAGTAGAGTTCTAATTAGGTATAAAGAGCTTTTATGCTTAGATATGGAAATTCCCAGATTTTTTTTGTTTGTTTGTTTCAGTCCTTCTCATAAATATTTGAGGCATAGAAAAATTTTAAAATTAAATGAAATCCAACTGCAAGACAAATTATTTTCTTCCCTACTTCCAAGCTAACAACACTTTTCATAAAGGTTTTGAAATAGCTACATCTTATTTCTAAATACAGCCATTAAGTGCCATAAATTTTTAATTTTACACATTGTCAGGATTCTAGTATTAAAAAAAGGTCCCTTGAGGTGTTTTATAGATAGATGAATCAATTGGTTATGGTGCACATTATGTTTGGGAAAAGGGTGGGGGATTTTTTCCATGTAGAGGGAAAATGTCTTAAATATTTAGAGTCTATGGGTCAGTTCACTCATAGGATATAGAGGTATCTATATAGTTATGTGTAACTACCATATAAACTTGGAATATTACAGTATTGGAGATCTTAGTTTTTATTTATATCATTCAGATACTGTGGAAACACATTGGTGGAAGACATTTTTTGTAGGTTTTGAAGAATTTGAACTGACTTAAGAAATGGATAGTAGATAATAGGAAAAGATGTCTTTAGGTTAAGCCGGCATGAACAAGTAATGGAGATGGGTCAAATGTGATGTTGAGCAGAAGAATGATACTTGAAGTAATAGTCTGGACACATTTTTAAAAATGAGAAAAAGTAGAGCTACACAGCGTGATTTTTGAACTTATTTTTGCAGTCATTAAGTCAGATTATTGAATATCCTCTTTTTGGGTCCTTACACGAAAGCATGGGTTTGAAATAGGCAGCAGTGAGCATTTGTTGTTGTTTGAATTGAGTTACCTCACAGGTGTGTTCTACAAAAATTAATCTTAAACAATTGTGGAGAAAGATAGCTGTTATCTTAAAGGAAAGATTAGAGACAGAAAACTCTGATCTTAAAGTCATTTAGGGTCTAGATTAGACTTTCTAGGGTCAAATCTTACTACCGATTTCTTCATAATGGTTCATTTTCTTTAAAACTGCTTTGTCGTGATTGACACATTTATAAATTTGTGTTTTCTGGGTATGTAAAGTACTTTAAAGTCACATTTAATAGAATTACTAATAACACTTTTTCTTGGTCTTATAGGTAACCAGTGGAGTTTTATTAACAATAATCTGCACACTCAGAGCATAAATAGGTCTTCCAAAGGCAGTAGTAGCCTTGATAGATTATATTCCAGAAAAATCAGAAAGCAGCTAGTTCATCATAAACAGGTAATTTTCAATATGCTTTTTTAATTTTAATGTTTGAGAACATTGCTTTAGGTTGCGTAAGATAGACTTGTTATCAGATGTTAGGTATGCTATTTAGGGAGGTACTTAGGGAAATTGTTAACAGTTTTGAGACTGAGCTTCCTTATTTGTAAGATGGCAACAATTTATAGTTTATGGATTTTTGGTGAGGTCCTTTAAAGTGTCTACTTCTTGGGGCACCTGGGTGGCTCAGATGGTTCAGCATCTGCCTTCAGCTTAGGTCATGATCCCAGGGTCCTGGGATCGAGCCCTACATTGGGCTCCTGGCTCAGTGGGGAGCCTGCTTCTCCCTCTCCCCCTCTCCCCAGCTCATGCTCTCTCTCTCTCTCTATCTCTGTCAGATGAATAAATTAAAAAAAAAATCTTAAAAAAATAAAGTGTCTACTTCTTCCCATCTCTGTTAATACTGTTTTAAGTAAGAGGCCATCATTTTTCTTTGTCTAGTCATAAGGTGTCTCTCTTTGTTCCTTCTCAATCCTTATCTTACCTTTCTTTCTTGAATTCTTAATAGCTTCCAGTAGACCTGTGCTTGAAGGACACAGTCCTTAACATGGCTTCAGGGTGTCTATCATGGGTCCCTCTTGGTAACTTAACAGGTTTGAATTTTAGTCTAGCCATATTGAATTTGAATTCATGAACCACCAACCCCAGTTTTCTCATCCAGGACTTTTGCATGTGGTAAGTTTCTCTCCCCACCAACCCCCAACCACATAGTATACTCTTTTGCTTAGATAACCTAACTTACTAGACATTAGTTTATAATCACTTCGTCAAAGAGGTCTTCTCTGTTTTCCAAATTAGGATAGTACCCCATACAGTATATTCCCCATGTGTTCTATACTTTATCCTTTGATTATATTCGTCATAAATTTGGTAGGAATTCTTTTATTTTGTTAACATGAAATATGTGAGTTTCACTGTGAGTAAATCATTTCTTAAAGTATTGTTAGGAGTCATGCAGAGTGCTCTTTTATACCTGGCTTTTTTTGCTCAAACTGATTTTTTTGAGATTCATCCATATTGATTATATCAGTGGTTCTTCTTTTATTCTTGACCACTATTCCATTAATGTTCCAGAATCTCTTTATCCATTTGCCTGTTGATGAACCCTTTAGCGTTGGTTTTTTCTTTTTGAAATACAAACAAATGCGCATATATGTTTCTTCTTCTGCTTATCATGCAAACGTTTGCATGTACTCACACTCAGTCTTTCTTTCACACAAAGTCATGTATTAGAATGTGGTTTTTAATACGGGACACCTGTGCATATATCTGCTTTTTTTTCTCACTTGGTTCCATGATTCCTTTTGAAATTGCACATAGAATTTGTTTGATATGCATTTTACTGTGTAGAAGTGAATTTATAGCTGATGTCAGATTCTTATGAGCCATTACTTTATTATTACTACTTTTTAAAATGAGTCTTTCTCTTTCTCTTCCGGTATATACGAAGTTAAATACTATATCCTTGATACATAGTATGGAGCCTAGTGTGTTGTCAATAAATATTTGTATAATTGATTTAAACTGTATGGAGTTTATATGAAAATCCTTCAGATCGGACAAGTTTGTGAAAGCTTTAGTCCTTCTTAGAAACATGGGCTTAGCACTAAATTATTTATTTTCACTTACAGGTTTTTCATCTGTGAGCTAACTGTTTGATCTTTTGCAGGAAAAATGATGTGAAGCTTTTCCCTCAACTCTTTTATTTTTTGACTCAACTAATTTTAGGTGGTAATAATTTGCATCCTTTCAAAATCAGCTAATTTTATTGAACACTTGACATTTATGCTTGCTGTATTTAATTTAGGATATGAAGTTGGAAAACAAACCTAGAGTATAATCCCAGTAGATTTTTCTTAGTAAAATATTACTGTTTTATTCTTTACTATGAAAGACATTATTGGAACTGGCAAAACTGAAAGTGGGGTGTGAGGCATAGTTGGTAGTCGTGTAGCAGTATTCTCTGATTTTGATGGTTTTATTATGGTTTGCAGGAAAGGATCTTGTTTCTAGGAAATAGACACTAAAATATTCAAGTTGGCTGGCCATTAGGTTGCCAGCTTATTCTCAAATAGTTTAGGGAGAAAATGTCTTTTTACAGTAATTAAAGTTGGTGACTAAGATTGTGGTTGTTTTGAAATAAATTAAAAATTATTTTTTTATTGTAACTGTCAACGTGGTTATTGTAGAACTTTTAGGACAGTTTTTTTTTTTTTTTTAAAGATTTTATTTATTTATTTGACAGAGAGATAGCGAGAGCAGGAACACAAGCAGGGGGAGTGGGAGAGAGAGAAGCAGGCTTCCTGCCGAGCAGGGAGCCCGATGTGGGACTCGATCCCAGGACCCTGGGATCATGACCTGAGCCGAAGGCAGACGCTTAACGACTGAGCCACCCAGGCGCCCTTAGGACAGTTTTCTGAAAATACTGATTTATAGTAGTTCTTACACACACATATGTTGATTATCTAATAAATGTGCATGCTGTTTTTAATTTAGGATACATTTATATGGAGATTACAGCCCAGGGAATATTTCTTTATATTAGTTAATTTTTTTCCTGATAACAAAAATATCTATCAAAAATAGAAATTAAGGAATGTTCTCTGAAGAAGTAGGTTTATTAAGTTCTTAACTAAATTATTCATTTATAATTATGGCTATTACTTTTTAGTGACTTTCTATTTAGAGTAATGTTCTGCCCTACATGGAGATGTGGTTAAGTCATTCAGTGGATTTTTAAGGTCTTCTTTGCAGACATTTTCTTCCTTTGTTTTGGTCAATTGCTACTGACTAGTGTTTGTGAGGGGTTAGGGATTGGGCAGGTGGGATAGGAGGGACATGGGCGGGCAATATAAAAGGACAGCATGAGAGAACCTAGTGGTGCTGATACTGTAGTGGTGGTTCCTGTGTCCACACATATGTAGAATTAGTGCACAAACAGATGTACACTCAAATGAGTAGAGATGAAACTGGAGAAATCTGAATAAAATTGGTGAAATTTCACAGCGTCAGTACTCTGTTGTGGTATTATAGCTTTACAAATTGTTATCTTTGGAGGAAATTGGGTAAAGTGTATAAGAGATCTCTCTTATTTCTTATAACTACATATCTACAGTTATCCTGCTAAATTTTTTAATTAATAAAGAGCATAGACATTCTAAAAAATGTACTACTCTTGAGGGAGATTGCCATAAAAACAAAGCTAAGAATATTGTGCAATAAAAATGTTTTGCCCATATATTTAAAAATACTTACTTTCCTCCAAAAAGTATCTATCAGTCTCATTAGTGGCTTACATAAAGTTTTCCACTTACTTCCCTTTTGCCATGGATGAGGAATTACGTCTTAATCATAACATGGAGAGATCAGTTGGGATTTGGAAATGACTTATCAGCAACACAGTTAAAACTAAATCTTTCAGGGAATTATTTATTCCATTAGTCGGATGTATGAAATCTGTGAAGCATATAATAATTTACTTTGTTGTTTTTAACACTGTTAGGTTAATTTGGGTTAAAAAGTTAGATTAATTTTCCTCTTTTTTTTTTTTTTTTAAAGCAACTTAACCTATTAAAAGCTAAACAGAAAGCTTTGGTGGAACAGATGGAAAAAGAAAAAATACAAAGTAACAAAGGATCATCATATAAACTTCTGGTAGAGCAAGCAAAACTAAAGCAGGCTACCTCAAAGGTATGATTTTCACTTTTTAATGTAATTATTTTGGAACAGTCACTTTCCTTTTTAATATTTTTAATTGAGTAGTTTATTTTTTTTGAGCAGTTAAATATTTTTAATAATGATAAGAAACTTAAAGTTTTGCTGTTCTGCTTATTAATGAAAAAAGCTATTCTAACCCCCTTTTTTTTTGAGGGAAGGTAGCTCAAGGAAATGGACTTACATTATGTTTCCAGTGTGCTTCCTTTAAAGTGGATTGCATGCCAGTAAATTGAAGATAAAAGATTCAGGGAAATGTATAGTTTTCTTAATGTGTTCTTTCTAATAAAATTAAATCCGTTGATTTTTAAATAAAATTTTAAAATACAACTTAACATGTATTTTTTAACACATATAGCAACCAGTTTTGTTTATCATTTTCTATAAATATGAAGTTATAGTTATTCCATCACATTTTGAGATAACTTAATACCCTATACTTAAAGTTACATTACATAGGTTTCTTTATCCATCCACCTTTTATGAATTATGTTTAGGATATTTTGGTAATTGTTATTCAAGATGTTAGATTTGACCTAATGTAGTCTTAATGTAGAATTTCACTTTTCTGGAATTCTATTATATATCCTGTACTTTACTCTCAACAGGACTTTAGGTATATTGGTCAGTAGAGCTTTTAATAATCTTATTTTGAAGCTTATGGTTTATCTAAAATTTTATCCTGTAGAATTTGTGAATTTTGAGTGAATATTTTCATTCCATAAATAAATTTATACTGAAAGAATTTTCATTCAGTAAATACTGATTTAAAAATAGTAAATTTTTCTATGCAGCACTTCAAGGATTTAATTCGGTTACGTCGGACAGCAGAATGGTCCCGTTCTAATTTAGACACAGAAGTTACAACAACAAAAGAAAGTGCAGAGATAGAACCACTTCCATTTACCCTGGCACATGAACGTTGTATTTCAGTAGTGCAGAAACTTACGCTGTTTCTCCTTTCCATGGATTTTACATGTCATGCAGATCTCTTACTGTTTGTTTGTAAGGTAAGTAAACTAATAGGCATAATTTATAATTACAGACTGAGAGGGTAAGAAAAAGAAAGGTTGCATACTTTAACTGGTTTTTGATTAAGAGTAGTAATAGTTCTTTTATTGGTTTTCCTTACATAAGTCAGGTTTTTTTTATTGTGCCTTGAAAGACTTAAAAAATATTTTGTCACTTACTTAAGAGATGTGATTTCTTAGGAGATGTGATTTATATTTTAACCTAGTTAAAACTAAATTAATAGAGATTTGAAATGTACATAAGGTGGGTATGTCTATCTCCAAGCTGCCTTTTCTCTATTAATTAAAATAGGAAATATACAAGTAAGTGTCATTATGGTAATGAAGGGGTTTTAATACCCTGAAGGCTTTCTTGTAGCATATTCATTGTTCTTAAAAATTATTTTTAACTATTCCACATGTGAGTGGGGAGAGGAGCAGAGGGAGAGAAGCTCACGCAGACTCGCCTCTGAGCATGGAGCCCAAAGCAGGCTGATCTCACAACCCAGACTCATAAGATTGTGACCTGACCCGATATCACAAGTCAGACACTTAACCGACTGAACCACCCAGGCGCCCCACTATTCCACAGTTTTTAATGAGATTTTAATATTTGATCATGAAAATGCATTTCTTTGTATTTCATCTCAAGCAATTGTTTTGACACCAAAAACATATCTCATCAGTGAGAAGTATTATTCCAACAGTTTGTTTTTAGAGAAAACATATGTAATTGCTATAATTTCATAAAATGTATTGCAGGTTCTTGCACGTATTGCAAATGCCACGAGGCCAACTATACATCTGTGTGAGATTGTGAATGAACCACAACTGGAAAGACTACTCTTACTTTTGGTTGGAACTGACTTCAATAGAGGAGATATATCTTGGGGTGGTGCTTGGGCTCAGTATTCCTTAACTTGTATGCTACAGGATATATTAGCAGGTTTGTCCGGATTCCGTTTTCATAGTATGTCCACATAAGCTTGTCATAGCTTGAATAAGTAACATTTAAAAGGAACTGGAACCCCCCGGAGTGAAAAAGGTCTGTTTAGTATTACAGCAGCAGCAACTATTTAGAATTACTTTTGTATTTAATTATGTTGACATGTATAAATGTTAAGTCTTTATGGAGGAGTTAGGTTGTTAAAGCAAAGGAATATTATAGCTAGTCGGTTTCATTATTAATATTAGTAATAGGCTGCTTATTAGTACTTTATGTGGCCTTGAGGACTCTTTGTGCATTAATCTTTTCATCTGTAGAATAAGGACAATGATAGTACCTTCCTTATAAAGTTGTTTTGAATAAGTGAGTTAATATATGTAAAGTGATTCATATTACACATTTTGTGTAAACATACTAGTTACTTGTCTTTAACATTTGAAGGTAGTGCAGTGGGTCCTAGCATTTCCTTAGGTAGGTGGGGAATATTTTGCCTCAGATTCTTTTATAGTTTGTAGCACATACATGCCGTCATTCTCTAAACGGGAGGAAAATATGCTTTAATCTGCTTTAGAGGTCTGGTAAGAAATTATTAAGACAGGACTGTTTTCTTTCGTACAGGGGAGTTGCTGGCTCCGGTAGCTGCAGAAGCCATGGAGGAGGGAGCAGTGAGCGATGACGTAGCTGCAACAGCCGGGGACTCCGATGACTCCCTGCAGCAGTCTTCGGTTCAGTTGTTGGAAACTATAGATGAACCTTTGACACATGATATAACGGGTACATTCCTTAAATTCTATTTTATTTAAGATAGTCTTGGCACTCTTTTTTTTTTTTTTAAATGAAAATACATTTTGAAATTAAGAATTTTAGTGACGTAGATAATTAATTTTCGTATTTTTGTCTTAGGGCTTTGGCCTTAGTAACCACATTAGTTAAATATAATGTGTTTCAGTTTGATTCTCTGAATGAATGCTTGTTATAATGAAACACTGTCCTCTCATAATGTCCTAATTATTTTGGTATGGTTTGATTTGGCTGTGTTGAAGAAAATATAATCTAGAAAACAGTTAAAGATACACATTGGTGAAGATTGCACAAAGTTAAAAGTTCTTACTCTTTAAGATCCAGCTTTTTCGGTGAATTTTCTTTCTTTGTTTTCTGCCTTTTTAAAAACTGTATGTGTATCTTAGTGTATACAGTCTTTGCTCCTTACTTTTTGAAGAGGGTATTTTAGTTACTGCCGTGTATGTTGAAGGGGCTGTGGTCATTTCACCCATTTGTCATTTCTCAGTCTTAGGTTCTCTAATCATTTTAGCCTTTTTCTGTGATATTCCCTTTATCTGGAATAGACTTCCTTCTCTTGTTTGCAAGATGAACTCCTTATCTAAGATGCACATAAAGCTTGTCCTCCTCCAATAAGCTTTTTCCACCAGCACCAGCAACAGTGTTGGAGACTGCCTTTGGTGCTGCCGTCTACTCTAGATCGTTTGTGATAGTACTTACCGTGCTATAGTTGGTTTAATTTCTGTAGTGTATCCTCATCTCTGGACTTCAATTAATTTATTGGAGAGTAGAAATTTGTTTTATTAATCTTCACATACTCAAACCCTAGTACAGGCTGGCATGTGCTAGGCATTCTATATGTTGAATAAGAGGGTGAGAAGGATGGGAAAGTAAGGTTTATTGAGGTTTATTGTAAGGCATAGAAGTTTAGTAAAGATCTTTGAGACATCTCAGAGCAAAATAATTTCTAAATAAAGAATGTTAAAATAAGGTGATTAGCAGCTTTTCCTGTAGGAGCTGCCGGGTTGAGAGGAGCATGACCCTCTCCTACCCCCGTGATGGCGTGTGCTCATCCACTGATAACAGTGTACTCTGAAAAGGGGGAATCATCTGGCAAAAATGTTACTTTGCCTCCTGTGTTCAGGGCTCCGATTTGACCTGAAATTGTGAACTTTGTTCATACCAACTTGTGCAAAAACAACAAGCTGTTAGTGAATTAGCAAGTCATCAAACCAGTTCTGAGTCTTGGGATATTGGCAGAATTCACATCCCCAGAGTTTGAGGTGGTGGGACTCACCGTTCTGCCAAGGGTGCTTTTAGAAATATGTGTGTCGTGGGGCCTGCATGTTTGTACCAAACAAAACCTGGCGCTGTTGGCATCACAGTATGAACACGACACGGAAGTCATATGCCATCTGCTCTGCCCATGCTGCCTTGGCCTTCCCAGCGCTGGTCGTGTCTAAAGGTCATCGTATTGAGGAAGTTCCTGAACTTCCTTTGGTGGTTGAAGATAAAGTTGATGGCTGCAAGAAGACCAAGGAGTCTGTTTTGCTTCTTAAAAAACTTAAAGCCTAGAATGATATCAGAAAGGTCTATGACTCTCAGTGAATGAGAACTGGCAATAGCAAAATGAGAAACCGTCGTTGTATCCAGCACAGGGGACCTGCATCATCTATAATGAGGACAGTGGTATCATCAAAGCCTTTCAGAACCATCCCTGGAATTACTTTACTTAATGTAAGCAAATTGAACATTTTGAAACATGCCCCTGGTGGGCATGTGTGACGTTTCTGCATTTGGACTGGAAGTACTTTCTGCAAGTAGACAGTCTGTATGGCACTTGGCATAAGGCTGCCTCCCTCAAGAGTAACTACAACCTTCCCGTGCACAAGATGCTTAATACAGGCCTTAGCAGAATCTTGAAAAGCCCAGAGATCCAACGAGCGCTCCGAGCACCATGCAAGAGGATTCATCGCAGAGTCCTGAAGAAGAATCCACTGAAAAACCCAAGAATCCTATCAAAGCTAAACCCTTATGCAAAGACCGTATGCCAGAACACCATTCTTTGCCAGGCCAAGATCACAAGCTCTGGATGGATAAGGCGGCAGCAGCCTCAGAAGCCAAATAAGATGAGAAGGGGGTTCCAGGCAAGAAGCCTATGATGGGGAAGAAGGGAAAAGAAGGCTGTTGGTGTGAAGGGTGTGAAGAAGCAGAAGAAACCTTTCGCAGAAAAAAAAAAGGCTGCAGCTACCAAGAAACCAGCAGCTGTGAAGAAGCCTGCAGAAAAGAAAGCTACCACGGAAGAAAAGAAGCCTGCTGTATAAAAACTGAAATTTGTTTATTCTGTAATTGTCAGATCATTTTGGATAGCTAATTTTGAATAAAGATGATCAAAGGCAAAAAAAAGAAAGTTGAGTAACAGTCATATGACTTAAATTTTCTTTGCTTTTCACTTTAATACTGGGTATCATTTTCTGAAATATTGGATGTAACATTGCGCTTTACATATTAGAGGTAGTAAAATGAGTAACGTTGATTCTAGAAATGAAACTCCCTCCATTCCCCCATTTAAGAAATGGATACCACTTCCTTTGAAGCCCTTGCTGTGCCCCTCCCCAGTGGAGAAAACACTGTACTGTCTGAATCATTCCCGTGCTTTGCCTTGTAATTATATTACCTAGGTTTGTATTGGTTTTGGTGTTTTTGAATTTTATGTAAATGGAATCATATACCGTGTTTATTCTTCTGTGACGTGCCTTTTCACTCAATATTATGTTTCTGAGATTTATTCAAATGAACGTGTAGAGCTGTAGGGCATTCCATTCCTTCTCCTTGCTGTATAGTGAGCCATTGACTATACCACAACTTATTTTTCCACTTTGTCACCCCTATTTTAGGACTCCCTAAGATCTATTCTTGGTCCTTGCTCTTCCATATAAATTTTAGAATCCACTTGTCAAGTTCCACCAGTAAAAAAAATCCCTTTGAGATTGTGAATGAAACCCAACTGAATCTATAGATCAGTTTGAGAAAGATCAACATCCATATGAAATTGAAATTGCATTTTTCAGTTCATGAACATGGTGTGTATACTAAATGTTTTCAATAAAGTTATATACTTTTTCTCATTAAAAAAATAACAAAGTTTATGCAACCTAATTCAACAAGGGCTAATTCCATGGTCTTTTTCCCAAGGAAGTCAAATATCATTGCATGGTGTTTTTAATTGTATGTCCTAGAGTGATACATTTTTATACTTACTAATGTTTAATTGTCAAGTATAAAAATTTAGAGATTTTTAAAGCAATAGAAACATGTTACATACCAGTAAAATAACTTTTTCTGTAAATAAAAGCAATATATTGGTTAAATTTTATGTTGCATACTCTCTCAAAATCATTTTCAATTATTTGAAGGTGCACCTCCTCTTTCTTCTTTGGAAAAAGATAAAGAAATTGATCTTGAGCTACTTCAAGATCTAATGGAAGTTGACATTGATCCTTTAGATATTGATTTGGAAAAGGATCCTCTTGCAGCCAAAGTTTTTAAGGTATGATATGCTATTCTTTGCAATTAAAATATTTCATTTTATACTTTCGGCTTAATCACTTAAAACAGGAAAAGTATACATATTTATCACATAATATAATCCGTTATTCATTGTTCTCAAAATTCATTATTTTGCTATAGGTCCTATAGTAGTTTTTTTAATACCAATAGAATAGTATAAGGAAAACTTGTACCCTTTTATTAATGTAGCCACAATTATTGTCTTATATATTAGTAAGCACCAGTAATAGGCATGGGGAAGTTTAGTTATAGTTTACTAAATCTGAAGCAGCATTTAAGCTCCTCTAAGCCCAGTTTATTTCAGATTCTACTTTTGTATTAGATTCAATGTTTTCTGAAGGAGATATACCCCTAATACGTTATATTGCTTCTTTTTGTGTATAAGAGATTTTTTTTTTAAGTATGCTACTTATCTCTTAGGTTCTAAATAAAGTATTTTTAAATTTTGGTATAAAATTAATCTATTCCAATAAATCATTAAGATCCTAAGTGTGTTTTGGTGATTTAAAGGGTGGGGAGAATGTTTATTTTGTAGCCTCATATGAGTTTAGAAAGTGTAAATAATGTCACTCTTAGTGAAGAGGTAAAAATAAACCACAATTTTTTTTCCACTCTTTTAAGCCAATAAGCAGTACATGGTATGACTATTGGGGTGCTGATTATGGCACCTACAATTACAACCCTTACATTGGAGGTCTTGGAATTCCTGTAGCAAAGCCACCTGCAAACACAGAGAAGAATGGATCACAGACAGTTAGTGTTTCAGTATCTCAGGGTAAGTGTGTGTTAAATTTTAAGTCATGTGCTATTGTTCTGTTTTTTTTTTTTTCTTTTAAAGATTTTCTTTATTTGACAGAGAGACAGAGAGAGAAAGCACAAGCAGGGGGAGCAGCAGGCCGAGGGAGAAGCAGGCTTCCCATTGAGCAGGGAGCCTGATGCGGGGCTTGATCCCAGGACCCTGGGACCACAATGTGAGCTGAAGGCAGACACTTAACTGACTGAGCCACCCAGGCGCCCAATCATGTGCTATACTTAAAACAAGTCCTAAATTTATGTATGCTTTGGCCTTTGAGAAAATGAGCCTGAGTATATGCTGAGAGGGTTTAGTTTCACAGGTATGCCATCAGAATGACAGAGCCATATGTTTCGGTGTCATTCACGTTGGAGGAGCTTCCATTTATGGGGCATCTTTTGTTTCTCAAAAATAACACCTAGCAAAATATATTTGTGAGTTGTGTGGGATTGCCAGTGATTTTAATTAATTGTGCTTTCTTTTATTTTTTTACTGCTAATAATAAACTTGTATTTTATTTGTAAACAGAATGAAACCACACTGAATATTATTTTTGCACTCTTCTAGTCATGTAGAATATTTTTTTAAAATAAAATCTTTTGCAAAATTTTGAAACAATCATACCTTTACTGAAAAGTTGCAAGTTTGATATAAAGAACATTTGTTATCCTGAGCCCTTTGGGAGTAAGTTGCTAAACTTTATTTGTTTTCGTTTTGTTTTTATTTGTTCTTTGTACAGATCAGGGCATTTTTCTACATAAGCAGTCAGGAAGCACATTCTGACAAAATTAGGAAATTAACATTAGTACTAACACTCACACCTCATTCAGGTTTCAGCAGTTGTGTTTAAACGATGTGCAAAAGGATCCAAAGCAAAATGATGCCTTGCATTTAGTTGTCATAGTACTTCAGTCTCATTCAGCCTGCTACAGTTCTTCAGAGTTCGTTTTCATGGCCTTAATGCTTTTGAAGATTACAGGCCAGTTATTCTGTAAAATGTCCCTCAAAATTTGTGTTTGTATGCTATTTCCTCATGATTAGATTGTGGTCATACATCGTTGCCAGAAGTATCTGTTGTGTAATGCTCAGGTTTTCTTATTGCGTTCTTTTAGTTCGTTTATGATTTAAATTTGTTCCATGACCAGAGATTTGAAGTTTAATTTCCTGATTTAAGGAGATCTGTGCCAGTCTTCTCCATTGTAAAGTTATTCTTTTCTCCTTGGTAAAAAATTTTTGTGGGTGTGGGAGAATGGTACTTGGAAACTATTCTTTAAAAAAAAAAATTAGTCTATTCATTGAATTTTTTTTTAAGCAGACCCATGGTTTCCTTTTTTATTCAGTGGGTCATAATTTGTTATTATTTATTTGTTGCTTAGTTTTTATTAAGGCAAAATATAAATAACATAAAATTTACCATTTTAACCATTTTTAAGTATACAGTCCTGTGGCATTAAGTACATTCACAGAGTTTTCATTTTTTGTTTTTATGTTCAGAATGTCCCAGATTTGACCAGTGGGATGGATCTCCTTTAGCTTATCTGTCTCCTCTTTCTTTGAGCACTTCCTTGTTTTCTGGCACAACAAGATGCCCCAGGCTAATCATTTCCTTTTCCTTCCCCAGACTGGGAATTAACTACTTCAGCAAGGGGAAGGGTTTTTCAAAACCTTTTAGTGGAAGAATGTGATTAAGAAACAAAGATTTGGGTGCTAGGTATACTTAGTATTTTGGTGGCTGTTTCTGTGCCCTCTTGGTGGACAGATCTAGGGAACGTGTGTGTTAACACACATTTGCATCTATATTTCTGTATCTGCCTTTTTATCTAGAATGCCTTGAGTTCATATCAGTATATCTGGCTGTCATCTAACTCTGTAGGCTTCATTTTATTTTTTTAATTTTTAAATTTTTATTCATATTCCAGTTAGTTAACATACAGTGTAATATTACCTAGACTTCATTTTAACTATCTCCCCTTCCATATTTCCATATCTTTTCTCTGACAGTGAGGAACCTGGTTCTCATTATCCTTAACTTATTTGCTTCCATTATCATTACTTCATTTATTTGATCCACCTCTCTCTATATAACTAGCCTCCTTTGCACAGATGTACGTGCTGTGGCTGATACTCCCTGACAGGTTGTTCTTCCATGAGGACACGCTCTTCACCCTATTTTGCATTTGGATGTCAACATTTTATTGTAGGAAGTAGGACATGAGTAATAATTATCAAATAGCTCTTTTTCTTTGAATTGCTTTTTGTAGCCCTAGATGCTCGCCTAGAAGTTGGACTTGAACAGCAAGCCGAACTTATGTTGAAAATGATGTCTACCCTGGAAGCAGATTCCATTTTACAAGCATTAACAAATACATCTCCTACGTGTAAGTGAAAATCACCGTTGTTAGAGTATTGCAGTGAATGATTTATCTCTTGATAATTTTTCATTGCATTCAGCAGGGACAGATTTTTAAATTCCATGTGTGGTATGAGGCTGAGGGGCTAAGCATATAGCACCTCTCCCTCCCTAAGTTAGTATCAAGTTGAGAAATAAGACAAAGGATTAATAAATTGGAAAAGTGGAAGGGGAGCAAAAGACCTCCATGTAGTAATGTGCTTACGTTCAGTCCAAAGACCTGAATGATGTTTTTGTTACTGTGTTGTGAGGTTAATGAAATTCCTAGAGTTGTCTGCTTAGCTAGCTGCCTGGGAGTTCATTGCATTATATCCACATCTATGATAAAGTGGGTTTTTACGTACAGTCATCGCCCCTTTTCTGGGAGAGAGATGTTTCAAGACCCCCATTGGATGCTTGAAACCACAGATAGTACTGAACCCTACATATACCATGTTTTTTCTTTACATACATACTTACGATAAAGTTTGATTTATCAATTAGGCACAGTAAGAAATTAACAACAATAATAAAATAGTTATAATCATATACTGTAATTAAGGTGTGAATGTGGTTTCTCTCTTTCTCACAATCACCCTTCTGGTGGTGCTGTTTGATGATAAAAGCCTGCATGATGAAGTGAGGTAAATGATGTAGGCGTTGTGATGGAGTGTTAATGTGCTGTTGACCTGACTGCAATTGTCTGCTCGTAACAGAAACCAGAAACCATGGAGAGCAGAACCCCAGATAAGGGGGCATTACTGCAGTGACATCTTTACCATCCTTTAAGACTAGGATGGAAGAGATATATATGGGCCTAACTGAACTGCTGAATTGAGAGGATTTACTACCTAATTATCTACCTCAAAGGAAGGCAAATGTTTTATATAAAGGACCAGATAGTAAATATTTTAGGCTTTCTGAGCTGTACAGTGTGTGTTGTAACTACACAACTCTGACTTTGTAGCAATAAAGTGGCTCAATATCTAAACCAGTGGGCATGCCTGATACAGAAACTGTGACACATTGTTTTGATCATTGATGAAGTAGAATACTAGACTTGGGTAGATCACCTCCTATCAGGTGAGCACTTGCTCAGTTAAGTTAGATAGCAGCCTGTCTCACAAAGACAAAAGATTGAGGAGCTGTGCTAAGGAGATAGGGATGTTTTTATTTTTCTTAGGCCTACAAATTACTTCACCTTCTCTGGAGCATGGTGAGCAAAAGGGTACATGTACTTGTTAGAACCTAGGAAGAGCATCATGTTCTTCTTCCCCTGTGAAGGGGAGTTCACGACACATTAGAGAAATTGGGGTTTTTAGACATGTTTATGTCAAATTGAATTCTTTCACTTGGTGGTCTTCATTTATTTCTTACCTTAGGAAGTATATAGCAAAGCGAAAAATCAAAGAAAAGGTCTAGTGTTCTATCATCTTGGTATTGGTACACTAGTATTATTGTATCTTATCTCTCATGTAATGGAGGGATCTCTTTTGTTGGGCAGCCTCTCCATGACCACAGACAACTCAGGACTGACCTAAGTAGCCCTTTTCTTTGTTAGACATTTCTTGTTTAAAATAATTTATTAGAAGATGATTTTGTAATTTATATCTGTTTCTCTTAATATTGTGTCTTTTGATTATTATCCTGTTCAGAACTGTGTCCCCTTTTTAATACAACTTTCTGAATATATGAGAAACCTCTCTCAGAGCTCATGTATTTCTCTGCTCCGCATTAATGTACACTCATTTATTAGTTTGGTGTGTGACTTGGGCATCAGAATTTTTTAATGCTTCCCAGATAATTTTAATGTATAATTAAGGTTAAGAATCAGTGGACTTGAGTCTAAATTATTCTAAAACTACTTTCTTAAATAGTCAAGATTCTTCTTTTTCTTCCTTTTCCTCATTTATTAATTATGAAAAAATAGAAAATAAAAATTAGAGAGTAAGGTTTTGTTCCTTTGATGGACAAATGCTGTGAATTGGGGAGCTTCTGTCTTTGGTGATTGTCTTTTTGACTTTCAGGTAATGTAAAAACAAATTTCCAAATAATATGATGATCCACCATTCTTAGGAATGCAATTAAAAGAAAGTTTTTTAAGATCTTCACTTAACCTGTACATGCTAATAGCTAGTGAACATTTCTCCGGATACTTTGTGATAGAATCATAATTGTGTTTAATTTTCAGTATCACAGTCTCCCACTGGAACAGATGATTCACTTCTAGGGGGTTTACAAGCAGCGAACCAATCCAACCAGCTTATTATACAGTTATCATCTGTCCCAATGTTAAATGTTTGTTTCAACAAACTTTTTTCCATGCTTCAAGTCCATCATGTTCAGGTATGACTTCAGGAGAAATGTTGTATTTTTACACGTTATTGCAAGCCTAGTAAAAGTTGAAAATAACTGGGGAGATCTTTCTCAACCTGACAGGGATGATTTATTCATTATCTCAGATGGAAAAATATTGGAGATCCTTTGATAACCACAGATCCTCAGTGATAGGTTATTTATAATTTTTATGATTTTTAAGATTTATTACTGTAGTTCCAATTTTATGTTTTACATACACCTGTGTTTAAAGACTTGAATCACCTATTTTAATTTAGAAAATTATTATTAGGTAAATGATAAATTTTAATTCAGTTTAAATTTTGTTTCATCAAGAATTTTAAGATGTGTTTGCTTGCCAACTGAATTGAAGTAACCAGAGGAAATATTTAATAGAAAAATTAATTACTCAAAGGGATTCGTTCGTAAGATTTTTGTTTAAATATATTTCATTATATAATAGGTACTTTTTTTGTTTGTTTGTTTTCCCTGTCAATTTTCATTCTTTTTCAGTTGGAATCACTTCTCCAGCTGTGGCTCACATTGAGCCTGAATTCTAGTTCTTCTGGAAACAAAGAAAATGGAGCAGACATTTTTTTATATAATGCTAATCGAATACCTGTCATTTCATTAAATCAGGGTAAGATTTATTAGAAGGAAAATTATTAACATAGCATAAATAAACTAAAAAGGCAACAGTTAGGTTAATATTACCTAATCTTTGTTTGTCATTAGGTTTATAATGTTTTAGTGGGAAAAAAAACCCTTTTTTTATACATTGATTTAATTTTCAGGAAAGAGAACAAAACCCTTTTTCTCTGGTTTGTATTATCTTGTGCCCGTGTGTAACTAAAATTTGCAGTGTTAATCTTTGTATTTCCAAAAAATACCATCTTGTTCATGAGCTGTTCTGTTGCCACTGGTGTTTCGGGAAAATGTGAATCAGCACCAAGGGAATTGATAACTTGGAGAAGGATATCCCATTTCCTGTGGAAGTTGTATTAGTTAGCTTTTGCAGGTTTTTGTTTTTGCTTTTGACAAATGCAAGAGTGTGAAAATAATGGGAGTAATATAACACCCTTCTACAGAAATACAATTAGCCTTTAGCTCTGGCTGCAGGAATCTGTTTACATTATATTTTAAGAAAAGTGTAAATGATCATCTATTTCTGCTGCTTTCTCCTTCACAGGGGTGTATTCTGTATCTTGCATGGCTCTCGTAGGCTTGTCTTTAAACCTTAGTGACAGCCCCACTGGCTCATGGTCCCACTTAAATCTGTGTTGTCTTGGCAGGAGCCAGTCCGGCTTTAATTAATAGGTTTTCATCTCTTCCACTGCACTAATAATTATTATAAATTGTGCTCCCATTGTTATTTTCAACTTTGTTATTGTGAAAATGATACACATAAACAAGAGTTAATGAGTAAAAAAGTAAATAACTTCATTATTATCAGATATTAATGTTCAGATTTCCAGTTGTCCCAACTGTTATAAAATCTTTAAAATTTGAAATAGAATCCATATAAGATTTGCATATTTTAATTATGTTTCTTTAATTCCTCTTAATCTGTATAGGTTCACTCCACGTCTTTTTTATCCCCTTAACAAAGTCATTTATCAAAGAAGTTTGGTCTTTTGTCTTTCAGGATTTCCAGGGTCCTGATTTTTAGTGATTGTATCTCCATGGTGTCCTCTCGATTTCCTGTAAAGTGGTAGTTAGACCTGGAGCTTAATCTGATTTTTTTAAAAGGCAGTTTCCTAGGTTGCCTCTCTTTTTACATTGTTAAGTAACGACAATGATGCTTAGTGCCATTAATAATTCATTAGAGGTTTCAAAATGAGGATAGTCGAATTTTATCACTTCTTTATTTTAGTTGAAACACTTTGATAAAGAGAAAATTCCTTTCATAGGCTAATATGTCACCCTCTGTTGGTAGTTTGTATAATAGAGGCAGGGAAAATGCCAGAACTGTTTTTTTCTTTTTCTTTTTTTAGTTTTTAAATTGAATTGGTTCACAAGGAGTCTACGTGCATGATCAGTTAGTTTCTTTAATAAATATCTGTATAAGTTTATGGTTTTTCCTTTTTTTTTTTTGTTTCAGTTACAATTGTTGCACTTACTGATGCTGAAATTTTGCTATTTGTGGTCAGTGAGGTGCTCCTTTCTTAGTTGTTGTTGTTGTTTTTATATACATACTACACTTTTGTTAGCTTTTAGTGTGATAAATATTCCAGTCTATGTGTATTTTAGCCTGAAATCTGGAATCAGCCTTTTTAAAGGGTGTTTTAAGAGCACAGTCTGGACACTATTATGTTCGTGCATTTTGAATAACTTCTTTGGCTTCTCCAGCTATCATAAGCGCTTTCTATTCGGGCCTTGCAAGTGACCTAATTATTCTAGTTTGTGCTTTTGTTGTGAAGTTGCATTGGTTTTCAGTGATCTTACCCCATCCCTGTTTTTCTAGTATCCCCTGTTATTTTCAGGTTTTGGTCTTGCAGAATGTGAAGATTTTTAGTAAAACGATGTTGCAATAGAAGTGCCTGTAGTTTGAAAAAGACAACACATTTATGATGATAACATTTTATGTGTTGCAGGCTGAGCTTTAAACTTAGCCATAAGATATTATTAACTCTTAATTTTTAGTGATATTTAATGGGGAACTCTTTTCATTTCTATGTCTTGAGGACACTAGGTAGTGAATTGAAAGAAATAGTATCATATTTTTTAATTTGTTTTATTTTTAATTCTTAATAAACATTTGGTTTTCCTTAATTAAAAGTTTTCCCCCTTTCTCTTTTCTGTATAGCATCAATAACTAGCTTTCTCACCGTGTTAGCTTGGTATCCCAACACTTTGCTCCGGACATGGTGCCTTGTGCTTCATAGTCTAACACTCATGACAAATATGCAGCTTAATCGTAAGTGCAAACATTTATTCCTTTACATCGAACTATTCCTTTAAATCTCTGACCTATACTTCTTTATTCTTACTATCAGATTCTTAAGATTTTTCCAAGAAGTGATATAGTTGTGAAAAGATTGTGTTCCTTATTTGACTATATCTCTTCTGAATTTGTTCTTATATATCTTAGGCTTTGATAATATACTCTCATCTACCATCACGAGTTCAAATCATAGTTTTACTAAAACTGATTGCTTTTTGAGTACAAAATCAAATGTTTACTGTTTTGTGTTATTTTTAAAGTAACTTTGCACTCAAAAAATGATTTATTATATTCATAAATATGTATGATTAGTTTACCACATCTAAAAGCTGTATTCATAGAATATAATTGCTTTTTCTCAGATTGTGATTATAGGTTTTCTACTTTATTACTCCACCCCCTTTTCTTATTATAATTAGGATAGTAAAATAATTTCTGCACCTTTTTAGAAAGGAACTTCTAGTGCTTTCTCTGATTTTATGTATCCTGAAGTCATGAAGATAATCCTACATTATCTTCTGTAGTGTGTATTGGTTTTATTTTTCACGTATAGGTCTGGGTTTTATCTGGCATTCTTGAGAGTGTCGTGAGGTAGGGATGAAAGTTCATAGCAGACAATAAGGCCTAGCCATTTATGAATTGAAATCTTCATTCTGTCTATAGGTCATGGTAAGAGGTAGGTAAATTTCATCCCCATTCTGTTTGAGATTAATTTCATTAAATAGAAAGCTCTGTCACATTGATAAAATGTCAGTTTAAATCATTGTTTAGCATTAAAGTGCTATTTTTTTCATTTGGAATGTTTTCCAAATATGGGATCGAAAACATCACTCTCTCATATGGAAGATAGATTTAACACCAAGGATAGTTTATTCAGTTCAGAAAACTGATGTGTTAACTGTATATCATTTAACAGTGCACAACCATTATACTACTGACATGCAAAAGTGAATAGTTTTTGCCTAGATTTATCTTAGAAAGCAGGGTTAAGATTTACCCAAAAAGTAGATCCCTATTTCTGAAAGAGGGAAGTAATTACCAAGAATAGGCTCACCAAAAGGTCAGTAAGCATTTAATTATTTCTTTTCCACTTGACTGTATACTAAATAAGATGCACATTAAACTAGGTATTTTTTATAGTCTATTTTCTATAGATTAGAAGAGAGGGAAGATAGATGAAAATAGAGAACGAGTCCAACTTAGTCAATACAGTAGAGATTCAGACCTTTTTAGTAAACTACTAGGGGCGCCTGGGTGGCTCAGTTGGTTAGGTGTCCACCTTTGGCTCGGGTTATGATCCCTTGCATCCCACTCACTGCTCAGCAGGGAGTCTGCTTCTCCCTCTGCCCCTTGCCCCTCTGGTGCTTTCTCTCGCTCTCTCACTGTCTGAAATAAATGAATAAGATCTTAAGGAAAAAAAACAAACACTAACTCCCAGGAATTTGTGAGTTTTCCTTGAAACTAAAAGATATTTTATATACTGTATTTCTGTTGTTTCAGGGTCCATTTGTTAAGAGCATTTTTGTTTTTAAATGTTTTACAGCGGGTTCAAGCAGTGCCATTGCAACTCAGGAGAGTACTGCTCATCTGCTGGTTTCAGATCCAAACCTGATTCATGTCTTAGTGAAATTTCTTTCTGGCACCAGTCCACATGGAACAAATCAACACAGTCCACAGGTAGGATGACGTTTGGAAACTAGTGATAGGCCCAGACTATTCAATAAACACTTCTGTAAAGAAAAACTTAATGCACCTAATATGTAAAATTTTTATTGCTAAGGTATTAAATGATACTATTTTATATATCCATATAATATAAAATGTTTTGAGTAATATGTAATAATAGCTATATTGAAACTGAAGCATAGTAGGTAGTAAATTTTCTCTTGAATTTTTACTGGATTTTTATGCACGTATGTATTTTTGACATTAATTTTGGATAATTTAAGAAACATTCTGAAAAAATACCTGAAAGGGAAGCATTTCAGAAATTTTGGAATTAAAAACATTTTAAAAAATAATGTACCATTTTAATGACCTACTGCAAGATTGATAATTAACCTAACTTAATCATTTTATAATATTAAATATAGTTGAACAAAAAATAACAAGTATTGCTCGGAGCTTACAAACATTTTTTAGTCTTACTATAAACCTCCTTTATGTCAATTAATTTCTTGTTACATTGTACTGCTTTTTAAAATATTTCTACTTCATTTTATTTCTTTTTATATAAAATATATATTTAGTGTTCATAGCGTCTTTTCAGTGCAGGTTATGCAACATTACCGTCTTTTTAAACTTACCATCTTAAATTCTTCTCTGGATTTGCCATTAGACAGATTCTCATTTAGCTGTCTAGTCTGTAATAGTACCATCCTTTCTAATGTTTCAATTATTCAGTAGGTTTTTAAGATGCTTCTGTGTGCTAGGTCCAGGTATTGTTCTAAGTGCTGGGGATATAAGTAGTTACCAAGACCAAGTCTCTGACTTCTTGCAGCTTAAATTCTGTTGGATATGTTTAGTCAGTACTCTCATATTGCATGTACTTTCATTTTGCAGATCACAATAAAACAAATGAGACAAGGATGAAAATAAGAGAAGAAACTATTGTAGTTAGATGGGGCCAGAGTGTTGGTGGGAGCAGAGGCATATTATCAAGGGATCATTGTACATAGAGATTTATGAATTTGGAATGTGAAGGTTCCTGGGATCATTGATTCTAATAACTTCATTATTTTACATATGAGAAGATGCATTATCTGCATTGCCCACAATTACGCACCTTATCAGCGGTAGAACTAGGTGTTGGAGAGCATGCTATTGTATAAAATAGAGTTTTTTTCTTCCCGCTTTTGTTTTTTTAAAGGCAGAATAAGTTATTGAAGATCAGACTTTCCTCTGATATCTTAGTTGTATATAGGAAGTTTGGTTAAGAATGCTATGATTTATGTGCTCAGTATTAGAAATTAAGTTTATCTAGCTTTAAAACAGTTTGAAGAATTACATTTTATTTTACCATAACTCTACCTGGGTTTTATGATCATAGCAAATTGGGATAGAATAAAATCACATGGAGAAGTGTTACAAAATATTACAAAACATACCTCAGGTTACATAGTGTGGTTCTCACCATTTCTTTCATTGATGAGACAGAAGTTTGGGAAAGCAGTCTTTTATGAATTGGCACAGGTTTGTGTTTTTGTTGTTTTTTTTTTTTAATTTTTTATTATGTTAATCACCATACATTACATCATCAGTTTTTGATGTAGTGTTCCATGATTCATTGTTTGTGTATAACACCCAGTGCTCCATGCAGAACGCGCCCCCCTTAATACCCATCACCAGGCCAACCCATCCTCCCACCCCCCTCCCCTCTAGAACCCTCAGTTTGTTTCTCAGAGTCCACAGTCTCTCATGGTTCGTCTCCCCCTCCAGTTTCCACCCGCCTTCATTCTTCCCCTCTTGCTATCTTTTTTTTTAAACATATATTGTATTATTTGTTTCAGAGGTACAGATCTGTGATTCAACACTCTTGCACAATTCACAGCGCTCACCATAGCACATACCCTCCCCAGTGTCTATCACCCAGCCACCCCATCCTTCCCACCCCGTTTGTTTTTACCTTTAGAGTTTTTTCTTTGTGGTTTTGTGTTTTTTTCATTCACGGTAGTATTTGCTCTGCTAGTCGTTGGAAGCATGACCATTTGTGGATCACTTAACCTCTTTGAGTGCTTCTGTTTTGAAATGGGTAGTAAGGTTGTTTGTGAAAATCAGTGCAAAAGTTCCTTGTACTTTTGACAGCATTATGAAGGCATTTCTCGTGTAATTCAGGTGATTTTTTTCTATTTTGAGTTATATAAACCTACTATAAGTTCTAAACCATAATGATAAAATTATGACACTAGAATTTGTGGTTTTCAGTTTAAATATCTTAAGACCTAAAAAAATCCATTGGTTTCCTGCTATCAGAAAATATTAATGTTAATATTTTCGTTCTTCATATGAAAAGTTAAAAGAGTATAGTGCTTGATTTAACACTTGATAACATTTATAGAATTATTCATTTAAAAATTATCAGTAAAAAGTTTTCGATTCTCTTCAGGTTGGTCCAACCGCTACACAAGCTATGCAAGAATTTCTCACCCGATTACAAGTGCATCTTTCTTCAACATGTCCTCAGATATTCAGTGAATTTTTGCTCAAGCTAATTCATATACTTTCTACAGAAAGGTAAATTTCAATGTATACATATATTCCTGATATAGAAGTAATATGTGATCCTTCAGATAAACTCTCACTTACCATCTGTTAGGGGTTTATCTGGGAACAGATAAGCAGTATAGTAGGGATTAAGGGGGAAGGGTTTATCCATTTCTCTCCTGACTGTTTTCATTCCATTTTATTATGGCTCTCTCAGATTCCTGAACTCTATGAAAGATATACACTACATCAAATCTCTGCTTGCTTTTAGTGTTTTCATACATTAGTGAAATTTACTTGAAGCTGTTTAAATTGTAGAATACAGAGAGAGTATTAAAGCTGCCAAGGATTTTACTTGAAACCTATATGTAAGAAAACTGAAAAAAATAGCTAAAAAAAGAAAATTACAGGGGCGCCTGGGTGGCTCAGTTGGTTAAGTGTCTGCCTTAGGTTCAGGTCATGATCCTAGGGTCTTGAAATCCAGCCCTGCGTTGGGCTCCCTGCTTAGTGGGGAGTCTCCTTCTTCCCCCACCCCTACTCTCTCATAAATGAACAAAATCTTAAAAAAAAAAAAGAAAATTACATACCAATCCCATAGAGAAAGCCTAAATAAATTTATTAACAAAATCAGGCGGTATGTTAAAAGAATGAATTGTGACCATGAGTGGTTAAAAATCATAATACATATCATATTAATGAATCATCTCATACTGTAAGACATTTCATAAAATCGACATTACTTTCTGATGAAAACTTTTTTTTTTTTTAGAGAGAGAGAGAGAGCAAGAGCAAGAGCACATGGGGGTGGGGCAGGTGGGAGGGGCAGAGGGGGAGAGAGAATCCCAAGCAGGCTTCATGCCCAGCACAGAGCCCAACACGGTGCTCCATCTCACTTCCCCGAGACCATGACCTGAGCCAAAATTGACTGAGCCATCCAGGAGCCCCATGTTTTCTATGTTTTTAAGAAAGTCTCTGGTATCCAGATAAATTAGCCAGGAGCTTTTAGGTAAATTAATTTTGTGACTGAAAAGAAATACCCAGTCTTATTATAAAGAGGGCATTCAGTTTTATCAAGTAAGTGTTTTGCAGATACTTCCTATCTGTGGATTATATTTTAACAATATCCTTCAAAAAACAAGTTTTTTATTTTGATGAAGTCTTATTTGTTAAGTTTTTCCTTTATATATTATATTTGTACTATAAAAAAAAAAAAAACCTTTGCCTAATCCAAGGTCATACAAATGATCTGCTGTGTTGTCTTCTAGAAATTTTATAGTTTTAGTTTTTACATTTATGTTGCATTTGGGTCAAAGTTTATTTTTTTGCCTGTGGATGTCCAGTTGTTCCTATGCCATTTATTGTAAAGACTGCTTTTCATTGAATTATCTTTGTATGCATTTTAAAAATCAGTTGACCATATTGGTTTTGCAGTTTCTAGACTCACTTCTGTAGAATTGAGGTTTGTGTCTATACTTTTCCAATACCATATTGCCTTGGTACCTCCATAAGTTTCTTGAAATCTGGTAGTGCAGATTTTCCAACTTTGTTCTTTCTTCAGAATTGTTTTGGCTATTCTGTTTCCTTTGCTTTTCCACATAAATTTGAGAGTACATTTATTGATTCTTATCTGCACTGCCCGAAATAAAACAAAATAAAACTGTGTTGGATTTTGATTGGGAATGCATCGATCTACAGATCAACTTAGGAAAAATTATATAGCCTCTTTGGATTTTTCTTTGTATACAGTCGTATGGCCAGTGAATGAAAACAGTCTTATTTCTTCCTTTCCAATGTATGTGTCTTAGCCCCTACACCCTACCCTGCCTCCTCTCCTAATGCCCTGGTTAGTACCTCCCATATGATTGATTGAAGTGGTTCAATTTGCCCTCTTTGTTTTTTTCTCACTCTTAGAAAAGTAAAGGTCTTTCAGAAGTAGAAATGTTATTAGCTGTACCTTCCTTTGTAGATGACTGACACCAAGTTCAGGAGGTTTTTTTGTGTTCTTAATTTGCTAAGTCTTTAAAAAATCATGTATTACTCTTGGATTTTGTGAAGTGCTTTCTCTGTATCTTTTGAAATGATCATATGTTGTTTCTTGAGTAACCTATAAATATGGCGAATTACATTGATTTTTTTTTAAAGTGTTGATCAATATGTATTTCAGGATATACTCATTGATCATGAGGTATTATCCTTTTTATACTTGCTGAATTGAATTTAACATTTTGTTGATTTTTGACTCTATTTTTTATGAGGGATGTTTGCATTTTTCTTGTAATGTCCAGTTTTTATGTAAAGTGTCTATTTTTTATATTAAGGTAATCCTGGACTCATAAGTTGGGGTATCCCTTTTCTATTTTCTGAAGGAGGTTGTGTAAAACTGGTATTACCGCTCACTTAAATATTTGATAGTACTCGCCACCGAGGCATACTGAGTCTGGAGTTTTCTTATAGGAAAAAATGTTCCATTTATTTCATAGGTGAAAGATTATTCAGGTTTTCTATTTCTTCTTGAGTGACATTTGGCAATTTGCATCTTGAAGGAATTTGTTCATTTTTTCTATGTTGTTGAATTATTGGTGCTATTTCCTTATCCATTTAATGTTGATAGGCTCTAGTTTGATTCCTTTTTCTCATTTCTAATATTGGTAATTTTTATTTATTTATATAGGTCATTCTTGCTAGAAGTTTATCAATATTACTGATATTTTCAGAGAATCATCGTAAAGCTTTGCCCTGCCATTCAGTCCCTTTCTGACACTTCCCAAAGTCAGCATCAGATTTACAGGTTTAACTCCTCAGTCCCATAAGACTGCCCTCACTTGAGAGGGCATTTGTAAGTCCTAGGTCCCAGGCTACCACACTTCTGTCAGATTTGGGTACAAATCCAGGGATTCTCACAGCACACGCTTCAGTTTTGATAGTTTGTAAAAATCTCACCTAGAACCCAGGAAAAACACTTTACTTACATATACTGGTTTGTTATAAAGTATGTAACTCAGGAACAGCCAAATGGAATAGATGCATAGGGCATAGTGTGTAGCAGGGGGTTGGGGAGGTTGGGTGCCTGTGAATGGGTTTGAACACCAAGGGTTCTGTGTTATTACCCTTGCATACACCAGGATTTAGCAAGTTGTTAAATATTTTCGCTGAATTCTTCTTACTCATTTGAATGTTGCCAGTGTCTCTTCTCAAATTCTGCCATAGGAGAGCCAGTGCTTCTTGGAGGTGCCTGTCTTTTCATGGATTTCAAGCCCTCTGTTGGGTTTATGTGACATTATAACTAGTTTCACTTTCTCTTGTTAATTTGGAGGCACTCTTCTCTCCAGCTTTTTATATCTTAGGCATGAGCAGAACTGGAGAACATTTAATTGTGATGCATAAAAATTATTTGAATCTTAATTTTTGAAAATCATAATCAGTACAGAATGTTTAAAATAGCACCATTTGAGGATATGAAAAACCAGAGCTTAGTCCATTATGAGGAGTGCCATGTGATGCTGAAATATTTTAGTCTGGGGTTTCAAAATCACCTCTTTGATTTACTTGTCCTTTGGTTTTCTATTTGGAAGGGAAGTCATTTCTTATTTTGTGTAAAATGGAGAAGAGAGTAAAGAACGACTCAGGAGGAGATGGAAACTATTTGCCTGCAAAATGAAATAGTGAATACCAAGAGTTTAATTGCTAGCTTTCTTGTGTTGTGATGGTTACTTTTTTAAAAGTTTAACAGGGATTAATTTTTAATCCTCTCTTTTTCTGCAGGGGTGCTTTCCAGACAGGCCAAGGACCTCTTGATGCCCAAGTAAAGCTCTTAGAATTTACACTGGAGCAGAATTTTGAAGTTGTTTCCATTAGTACTATTTCTGCTGTAATAGAGTCTGTCACCTTTTTAGTGCATCACTATATCACTTGCTCAGACAAAGTAATGTCTCGAAGTGGATCTGATAGCTCGGTGGGTGCTCGAGCATGCTTTGGGGGACTCTTTGCGAACCTCATTCGTCCAGGTGATGCAAAAGCAGTTTGTGGTGAAATGACAAGAGATCAACTCATGTTCGATTTGTTAAAACTGGTTAACATTTTGGTCCAGCTGCCTCTTTCAGACAACAGAGAATACAGTGCAAGAGTGTCTGTGACCACCAATACAACAGACAGTGTTTCGGATGAAGAAAAAGTCTCAGGAGGCAAAGATGGTAATGGAAGCAGTAGTAGTATTCAAGGATCACCTGCATATGTGGCTGACTTAGTGTTAGCCAACCAACAGATTATGAGCCAGATTTTGTCTGCTCTGGGCCTGTGTAATAGCAGTGCCATGGCGATGATAATTGGTACGTATTGAGAATATTTCATCTTATACATGTTTCGGGTCTTGTATCTCTTTTCATGAGCAACAGATAGATTCATTTTTTTGTTACCTTATAGTGTAGAGCTACTTGATTGCAAACTTCTTAGCATGATGTAAGTGAAAACTTTTATAGAGTGGCTTCTATCAATAAGTGAAATTGAAATTAGGAAGAATTTTAAGTGTGAATTTTTTAAAAATTGGAAATTACTAACCAAATAACTTGCAGTTTGTTAAATTAAGAAAAAAATCAGTCTTCTAAGTAAGGTACCACAATTTATAGTTGTATATCTCTAATGTTTTATAGATGAAGAATTTCACATCAAATTTTGTATTAGGGAATCAGTAAGGTTTATTTATTTACATTTTCTTTAGAAGTGAAATATAAAATTTTATCCAGTAACAGTTTCTGTGACACATATATCAGTGTAAAATTCTATATTGTTGCTTAACTTTTCTGCCTGTTTGAAAAATATGTGTTAATTTTTTTCAAATAATTAAACTTTGTAAATTGTGACAGAATTCATTCCAGTCTATTTTTACTTAATTCTTTTTGTAAGGGAAACAGTCGTCATATCTTTTAATTAGATGATTTGAAGTGCAATTATGTACCCACATCACTGACTTTCTATCCATTTCCTTTCTTCTCCATACATAGCTAATGTGTAAGATGATGTTGCTCAGTCATAGAGCAACTTCTTATTGTCATCAACAATAGAGGTATATCATGTAAGAAGATATCCAAAAATATGCTTTACTGAATGCTATGATAAATACCTCAGTTTCATATAGATATACACATACATACATGTACACACACATATAACTGTTACGTATCCATCGTTCAGTGGTTTCAGGAGAAATGACTTTAAAGCTTCTAATTATTACTGGTTTTTAAGGATATACTTTTCACAAAATGTGTAATCTTTTTATTTAAACTAGGAGCAAGTGGATTACATCTTACCAAACATGAGAACTTTCATGGTGGGTTAGATGCCATATCAGTTGGGGATGGATTATTTACCATACTGACAACCCTCAGTAAAAAAGCTTCTACAGTCCACATGATGCTGCAGCCAATTTTAACCTATATGGCCTGTGGTTATATGGGCAGACAAGTAAGTTCAATCCAGCAAATATTTCAGTAATGTAAATAGTTTCTAGCAGTGGGAATAGAGAATTATTTATAGAACAGGGAACAGAGGACTCATATACTGGAAAAAGAGCAGCGGCATGAGGTGAGAACTATGGACTATTCCTAGAAGTTAGAATATAAAATTTTCTAGAGTTGGTATTTTCAGAAATGACCACAGTGATATAAGAATAGAACATTTAACATATTCTTAAATTTTAGATTTTTTCCCCCATTGTCTCAAGAAATAGTTCTTCCTTTCCCCTAGAAATAGCATAGTTCAATAGCAAAATGTTCTCTGTAGATGTTACATGTGAAAATTTAATGGAACTTTTTTTTAAGTTATGTTGCATGTTTAGTTTCCTTTCAGCTGAAAGGAATTTGGGTAATTTTTAAAGTAAAATAGGTTAGAGTATTACTGCTTTTTATCTTTCCTTATAAAATGAAATTGTAGGAACCAGTGTGATGATTTTAACTTCTAGTCCATTTACCATTTTTTCAAATATAGGTTTTAAAACATACTTTTTTAATAAAAGTATTTTGTCAGTGTAAAATTATCATTTTCTTAAAAACTTCATTGCATATATGTGTGTGTGTGATATATATATGCATATATATTTCCATGAGTAGATAGATATTTGAGAAGGATCCATTTTTATTTATTTTTATTTTTTTTTATTATTATTATTATTTTTTAAAGATTTTATTTATTTATTCATTAGAGACAGAGAGAGAGAGAAGCAGAGGGAGAAGCAGGCTCCCAAGGAGCAGGGAGCCCGATGTGGGACTCAATCCCAGGACCCTGGGATCATGACCTGAGCCAAAGGCAGACGCTTAACCATCTGAGCCACCCAGGCGCCCTTTATTATTTTTTTTAAAGATTTTATTTTTTGAGAGAGCGAGAGCGGGAGGAAATGGAGAATCAGGCTCCCCGCTGAGCAGGGAGCCTGATGCGGGGCTCGATCCAGGACCCTGGGATCGTGACCTGAGCCAAAGGCAGACGCTTAACCGACTGAGCCACCCAGGTGCCCTGAGAAGGATCCATTTTTTTTTTTTTTTTAAAGATTTTATTCATTCACTTGAGAGAGAATGAGATAGAGAGAGCATGAGAGTGGGGAGGGTCAGAGGGAGAAGCAGACTCCCTGCCGAGCAGGGAGTCCGATGCGGGACTCGATCCCAGGACTCCAGGATCATGACCTGAGCTGAAGGCAGTCGCCTAACCAACTGAGCCACCCAGGCGCCCCAAGGATCCATTTTTAAATGAAATTAGTGTCTAATGGAAAACAAAGTCAATGCCCATTTAAGGTCAAAAATGACAGTAGTGGGTATAGACAGATGCTTTAAAAAAAATACTCTGAATTCAGAGAGGAGACTGTACACTTCCTTTCTGATTCAGGTAAAATTTCTTATGTATTTTGGCAGATATGTTGTATTTACTGATTTAGATTAAGGCTGCCATTTTAGAATAATTAACTATTAAAGAATATTATATTTAATAGGCTTAATTGTTCTGATTCACAGGAAATTCATAATTAAGATTTTAAAGTCACAATACACTTTTTTCTTTCTTTCTTTTTTTTTTTTTTTAAGGGCTCTCTTGCTACCTGCCAATTATCTGAACCATTATTGTGGTTTATTTTGAGAGTACTGGATACTAGTGATGCCTTGAAAGCATTCCATGATATGGGTAAGATAAATTCCAGAAATTGTCATTTAGTATAATCATTTGACGGTGTATGATCTTATTTTTGTAGTGTTCTGCAAAAGGTGACTCAGTGTCAAACTATCTTAAGGTAATTTTCATTTGGCGTTCTTTGTAAATTTAGGTGGCGTTCAGCTGATTTGCAACAATATGGTTACTAGTACAAGGGCTATTGTAAACACTGCAAGAAGTATGGTATCAACTATTATGAAATTTCTTGACTCTGGTCCGAATAAAGCTGTTGATAGCACTTTGAAAACAAGAATACTAGCTTCTGAGCCTGACAATGCAGAAGGGATCCATAACTTTGCACCCCTGGGTAAGAAAAGAATTATTAAATCTTACTGGTTTGGGTTTATATAGTTTATTAGCTGGTATGAAGCAAAAATAGTTGTTGAAGTAAGTTGATCATGTTACAGTAACACCAATTACAAACCATTGATTTTAAAGGTAGCAGTTTTTGAAACTTTCTGTTGATTAGAAGGAAGTTTTTAATGGTTCTTTAGCAATCACATTTGTTTTTATTTCTGAGTTAAATAGTAAAACAGTTTGTGAAACTAAATAGCAAATTCTTAGGTCAGTTTTCATTGTAAATGTTAATCAGTTTAAAGGACTTGTTCTTTCTTAACTTGCATGACTTTTTAAAAGTAGCTCCAGATTTAAATAGTTACTCCTTTTCCCAGTTTACATAGTTTCTTTTTATATATTTCTTTCATATTTCTAACTCAAGAATAGTGACAACTAAAATAAAGGTAATTATTTTCAAGTTGAAGGTTGTCTTGAACCATAGTATTTTTACTTAAATTATTTGAGAGTTGTGCTAGATTTGTTGTTACTACTACTTTAGTTTTCATTCGACATGTGAGTACAAAGAAATTAGATAACAATAATAAACTTGTCACCTTGCAAGTTGACTAGATGTCCTGATGTTTTGTGAATACTGTGACAAATCATGCTATATATACTAAACAAATAGATTCGTAGCATCATATGTCACGGTTTTAGCTAATTTTTCTAGTTATTAGGATTTGAATAGTTCTTGATGTTTTATTTGGTTTCTTCTACAAAGTTCTTTTTATATTTAATATCCCTTCTGTAGGTACAATTACATCTAGCAGTCCTACTGCCCAACCAGCTGAGGTGCTTTTACAGGCCACGCCGCCGCATAGAAGAGCTCGCTCTGCTGCTTGGTCCTACATCTTTCTGCCAGAGGAGGCTTGGTGCGACCTTACCATTCACCTTCCTGCAGCAGTGCTTCTGAAAGAGATACATATCCAACCTCACCTTGCATCTCTTGCAAGTGAGTCATATTTTTTGTAAAGAAGTATAATGAAAATAAACTGTAAACGAGAAACACTTAAAAATAAAAATATTTAGCAAAAAGTGATACACTTAGGTACGATTCCCCGATTGCTTAATTTTGTAGTTTTTTAATATAATATTCAACATTACCACCGAATCATTTCCCATGAAATGAATTGTCATGGCTATTCTCCTCAAACAAATAGAATGTTGCATGAAATCCAGACAAATACATTTCAGTTACATATAATTTGGCCTTGCCTTTCCTCCGAAATTAAGCTGTAGCATTGAGATGAGTTAGTTTATACACCCGTAGATAGCAGTATTATTTTCTCCATCCCTGTCCTCAGTGCTAGTCCTATAATGTGAAATTAAATCTTTTAGATTTGTCTTTTCCCCTTCCCATTATAAGATAATTACCTGTAAGGAATATTTTATTATTTGAGTGTGATTTTTTAATTTGTACTATTTTGAGTATCACTCATTTTGATATGTTTCTGTCACTTTGCAAGTTAAATAATTCAAAAGAATTTTTAGAGAACAAGTTTTACATTAAGAGGAGCAACAACTCTTTCAGGTATTCATAAAGGAATGTGAAATACTATTTTGCATTTTTTATCCCCAAATTCTTTCAGTATAAACATGTAGTGATTTTTACAGAATTGTTGAGATTGTCACATTCATTTTTGTTGCTGATTAATTCTCATTGTTGTCAAATGTCAATAATTGGATGAAGAACTGTGGGAAACTTTGTAGATCCCTGGCATATGTGGAAGAATGAATTTTCCACTTGCAAGATTAGACTACTGTTATTCCCTGGAATTCACACCTCTTAGATAAAAAACAGATATAATGGCAGAAGGAAAATGCATGAATTCATAGTGTTTTTGCAGATCAAAAACAACTGTATTGTAAAATATGAGTCAATACAAGATGTAGAGGAAAAGCTAAGATGAGGAAGAAATTGCTTTTATTTAGAAGGAGTAAGAGTGGTCCTTGTAAGTGGTGGCTTTGAAGTGGGGCTAGAATTTGCACATGGGAACTGAGGTGGAAAGAGTGTTACAAGGATGAACTCTGTTCATTATAAAAAATCACTAGGTTTGGGGCACCTGGGTGGTTCAGTCAGTTAAGCATCCAACTCTTGATTTTGGCTTAGGTCATGATCTCAGGGTCATGAGATTGAGACCTGCGTCAGTTTCCACACTGGGCTTGGAGTCTGCTTAGGATTCTGTCTCTCCCTCTTTTCATCCACCACCAATGCCCCCATTCCTATGCCCCTGCCCCCATCCCACCCCACTCAGGCACACACACTTTATATTAAAAAAGAAAATCACTAGGTTAGGTGTTCCCTACTATAAGTGTTCCCTACTATAAGTGTTCCCTACTAAAACATTTTGGTTTTATTATTGGATTGGAGCAGAAATTGAAGATATGTTTTGTTCCATTGGAAATAACATAGTCTTTAGAATCAAATATGGGCTTGATTATAAAATGTTGCCATTTGTTCATGTAAGAATTTGGATTACTTTATCTCTTTGACTTTGTCCTTTTGTGTAAAATGTGGATAATACTTTTCTCAAAAGTGAAGATAAAATTTCAGAATTGATATGACTTGCCAATTCTCAGTGTAAACCTAGCATGTAATTGGCATATGGTAAAAGTTACTTCCAATTATTATTAAAATTAAAATCAAAGTTCAAAGGTCATTTTAGTTGATAGATATATTTCTTATATGGGCTTCCGTGTTATGTTAGAAATAATTTTCCCATATTACTTCATTGAGCCTACCTGAATTTTAGCAGAAAATGATTTAAAATAAAATCTTCTTGATGTTTCATTAAATTTTGAAAGGGAAATAAAATATTAGAGGCAAAAGCAGTTTTTAAACTCACCTATATTAAAAATCATTGCAATATGGTAGTACTGAAATAATGAGTTGGTAGAAAAGCACTTTTTTTTAATATTCTTCTTTCCCACATGACTTAACAATAGTAAACCATGGCATATTAATAAAATGTCCCACATTGTTGGTGATAATTCTGAGTAAAGTAGGAATAATAGACCAATTGCCTATTTGGCAGTTTTCTTTTTTTTTTTTTAAGATTTTATTTATTTATTTGACAGAGCGTGAGTGAGTATGAGCAGGGTGGACAGGCAGAGGGAGAGGGAGAGGGAGAAGCAGGCTCCCTGCTGAGCTGGGAGCCCAGTGTGGGGCTCAATCCCAGGACCCTGGGATCATGACCTGAGACGAAGGCAGACGCTTAACGACTGAGCCACCCAGGCGCCGCGGCAATTTTTTTTCTTGTAGAGACTCAAGAGCGTACATGTGGTTTACATATATTCAGTTATCTTTCTTTAGGCGAATCTTAGAATTTTTAAAATACTCTTTGTTATATTGTAGGTCTCATATTTTATGTTGGAAAATAGTTCCAAAATCAGTTATTTTGAAAGTCATTGACAAAGTATGATGTGGCATATAAATTTTCTTTTGCAAATTCATAGTGAATATAACTAAAAGCTGCTGTTTTACTGGGATTTCCACTAAACCATGAAGTCCAGTTCACATTTTCTTGAGTAATTTTTCAATATTCTTTTCCTACAGCCTGCCCATCCTCAGTGTCCGTTGAAGTGAGTGCAGATGGGGTAAACATGCTACCTTTGTCCACTCCTGTTGTCACAAGTGGTCTCACCTACATAAAAATTCAGCTGGTAAAAGCTGAAGTAGCTTCTGCTGTCTGCCTTAGACTTCATCGCCCACGAGATGCCAGCACATTAGGCCTTTCACAGATTAAATTACTGGGCCTCACTGCTTTTGGTACCACTTCTTCAGCAACAGTTAATAATCCCTTTCTTCCATCTGAAGATCAGGTATCCAAAACAAGGTATGTTATGTATCTCAGTTGTAAAAAAAGCTTTCTGAGTTTTTTATGAAATTATTTATTCTTTGGCTTCTTTTTTAGGGCTAGGAAGGTCTTTGCTCCATAGGTAATTTATATAATACCATAATTTTATCAGGTACAGTAGAGACACTAATTCTGTAGAACCGGAACTTAAGGCTGGTTAAAATTGAGATTTATGTGTGTTTAATTCTTGAGGTAATCTCAAGAATGTGGTATATATAGGTATGGGTTTCTGTTCTTTGGATCACAGTCTGGTATAAGAATTTCCAAGTGTCTGTCACCAGGATACATCTGAGCCATACAAATTGACCATATGGACAGAGACCTAGTCTTAATATGGTAATTCCTAAATGCCAATTAGTAGAAGGGTTAGATTGGAATCATACAGATTGACCAAGTAAACCAAGACCTGAATATATCCTTTAATTCACTTTCATTTGGTAAAGTTTGATAGTTGATAATATTATAGACTGGTTCTGTTAAAAGTTTTGCCTGGTAAGAAAATTTAGGGTTTTTGTTTTATTCTCAAGCTGCCAAGACTTTATAGTTTTGCACAGCTATAATTTTATGCAGTTTATATTTAAACATATAAATATATGTATATGTAAAAACATTTTCTGACTAATCGTGTAGTTCCTAAACGCGATTAGTGGTTAAGTATTATTGTGTTATGGGGGAAACTTACTGTGTTTAATTCCTTATTGATCTTCCAGCATCTTTTTTTCTTAAACAGATCGGTGTTATTTATGAAACAACATGCTGATTTGTTTTGTTTTACCCCAGAAGTAATTTGAGCTACTTAAATTTACCACATAAACCATTTTGTGTTGTTATTTCAGTATCGGATGGTTACGGTTATTACATCATTGCCTTACTCACATCAGTGATCTGGAAGGAATGATGGCCAGTGCAGCTGCACCTACTGCTAACCTGCTACAGACTTGTGCTGCCTTATTGATGTCCCCATACTGTGGAATGCATTCACCCAACATTGAGGTTGTGCTTGTAAAGATAGGACTGCAGTCCACTAGAATTGGCCTGAAGCTTATAGACATTCTTCTGAGAAACTGTGCAGCATCAGGCAGTGATCCTACAGGTGACAGTTAACTTTGATAGTTTAAGTTTTACCTATCTGCAAAATAATGACAGTTGAATTACGTGATCTCTATGACTAAACCTGTTTCTGAAATTTCCATTATGGCTTCAATGTTCTAGGGGTTGGTTTGTTATTTTTGTTGTAATTTATAGAAGAATTATTTTTAATTAACAATTTAAAATTAAATTGAGCAAATTTTATCCCATTTGCTAATTGAGCAAACTTTCTTTTGGTTCTTTATTGCAAGATTTGAACAGCCCTTTACTTTTTGGAAGACTGAATGGACTCTCTTCTGATTCTACAATAGATATTCTTTACCAGCTTGGAACAACTCAGGATCCTGGAACAAAAGACAGGTATATGTTGATCTTGTTTTTTAAGTACACACATACACACAGTCACATGGTAGTGAATGTTACTACTTGTCATACTTTCTCCTTAGAGTGTTTCATAAAAGCTAAGGCTGTTGATTATATTGCATATTTACCTGTATGCTTTACATGATACAACTGTTAGAGATTTTTGTGAACATTTAACATAAATTTTTATATATTTGGACCTATTTTAAGCAAATTTGAACTCAAATAGAATTTTTAATCAATATTTTTGATTGGAATGGAATAAAATATTACATATTTTTACATGAACCGTGTTGTGATGAGATCTTTATAAATTTTAATGGTCTCATAATCATACTATTTAAGGTAGTATATACAGTTTCTGATTATAGGACTATTGTGTCCATATTAGGTACATAGACTATTTTGACAGTGATAATAGTGTTTGTTTTGATTACTTATTATTTATAATATTCATTGACAGCTTTTCATGAGACTCTCTACCTTTTTTCTCTTTCCTACCACAAAGTGAAACGCTATCAGTAAATAACATCTGAACATTTCACCTAGATATTTAGTGATGTTTTTTAAAGGTAATTTTTAGATGAGTTTTACTAATGTAGTTCTTCCTTGATGTCTTCAACCTCCAAATTGGTAAGAATGCCAGGTATTTTTGAAACATGTTTTTATTGGTAAATTTTTGAGTGATGACTTGGCATTCTCTTGTTTTATATATATCATTTATATCAGAAGAACATTTATAGAGTACGTAACTCTATAAACAGTCTTTTGTTTTCTGAGTTATGTTATCCTTTAATATTTTGATTAACATTTGAGAAAATCATTTGATATTTTATTAATTTGTTTATAAATTAACAAATTATTAATTGTTGTGGGTACGTAACTCATAAGTACTTACTGAGTAGCTACTGTATGCCTGGCACTGTGCCAGATACTAGAGTGTCGAACAAGTTCATTGAATCCAGCTTTTATCTTGGTTTGAGGAGGCAGGTTACTGTCATTCACAAGGGAAGATTTACATAGGTCAGACTTGGGAGTATATAGTAGAGTGTCAGGCATGGAAGGTGCCTGGTAAATATTGATACTTTAACCACTGATAATGTAATGGCTTTTACTTATTGTAGGCTAGTTGCTTTCATATTTTCTGATTAAAAATGTTTAAATGACATTTAACCAAGTAAATTTATTTTCAGCATGATAACTTCAAAATATTAAATAAGCTGACTTCCATTAAGCTTCTTCCTTTACATGAATTATATTTTTATTATATTTAAAAATAGGTTGGAATTTTTTTAAAAATATTTTTTGATAAAAAATTTTTGCCAAGTTTGAATCCTAATGGTTAGTAGGGTTAAAAAGAATATAAAAAATGAGTTTTAAATATTTTTCTGGAACAGTTTTCTTAAAATCTCTTAAAATTATTTGATTCTTTAGTAGTTTTATGGTTTTTATCATAAGAAAATTACCCTAAACAAAGTTGTTTTTACTGCATAATACTTTTTAAAACATAACTGTCTTAGAACTCACATAATAACAAGATGGTTGGCTTCTGTGGACTGAGAAAATCTTACTACTCCATAATTTCCTCATCTCTCTTTTTTTCTGACTTCTCTTAATTTCCTGTCATATGAAATTTAAAGAGTCTTGTCCTTCAGGGCAGAGAGGAGGATTAAGTAGATTTATATACCTTCCTACCCCCATTTCTTTTACCGTGAAACAAAGAATCTTACGATCTAGAAATTTGAAAGCAAACAAAAATATAAATACTATGTTTTAAGAACTCAATTATAAATCTTAACCCATTTTCTGTATTTTATATAAACTCCAAAGCCTTATTGGTTTAAAAAGTCTTGTTCTCAGTCAGTAGCGCCCTGCTCCAGGATATTGAGGGTAGGGTAGCACTTGAAAAAAAGTATATATTTTGGGGCTATATTGTGTTTTCAGCATGAAGGGGGGTGGGTGACTGCTGCTAGTATTTAATGGTTGGGGACCAGAGGTGTGACACGTGCTCTATTGCATGAGGTTCTGCACAGTGAAGAATTAGCACCAGATTACTGCTCTCGGTTGTGTGGATTTGTTATGAGATAAAATTTACAAGAGACAGTGAATTTGTTAAGCTTTGTATCCTGTAATTTCAGATAGTGATAGTTTTGGTTTTTTTTTTAATAAATGAGTTAAGTTAATGTTTATTTGCAAAATTATAGTTACGTTATTTCAAACATTTTCATCAGTTAAGATTAGTAAGGTTATGGGAAAACTAGAACTACTATATTCTTTCTGCTTACATAAATTCCTTTTTCTTCCTATTTTAGATTAAATTTACCAAAAACAATATGTTATTCTCATATATATGTTGCTGACATGTAATGGTGATATTTATCCGTATCAAATGTCAGTTGTGGTATAATTGGTTATTTGAATTCGTTTTCTTTTAAGAATCCAGGCCTTGTTAAAATGGGTCAGTGATTCTGCAAGAGTGGCTGCTATGAGGAGAAGTGGCAGGATGAGCTACATGTGCCCTAACTCTTCAGCAGTAGAGTATGGTCTTCTCATGCCATCTCCTTCTCATCTTCACTGTGTGGCAGCAATTCTGTGGCATAGTTACGAACTGCTTGTAGAGTATGATTTACCAGCACTGCTGGACCGAGAGCTCTTTGAGTAAGTACGATTTTTGAAATCCTTTTTTTCCCCAGTACTAGATCTTTATAGGTTTTCACTTGATGAAACAGTATTTTCTATGCCTATTTGGATAATAATAATACTTTGAAAGTAGTAGTTAAATTTAGTCAGGTGTAATTTTGAAATAGGTGTCACACAAATTTGATTAATTTATATTCATGTCATTGCGTGCTTTTCCCACCTAAAATCAGAGTGTTTAATGTATGTGTTCCTCCAGTTCATAGTGTTTATTCTTTTTTGCAAATTTACCCACCAGAATTTTTTTTTAATAGGCTCCATGCCCAGCGTGGAGCCCAGTGCGGGGCTTGAACTCATGACCTTGAGATCAAAACCTGAGCTGAGATCAAGTGTCAGACGCTTAACTGACTGAGCCACCCAGCCCCCACCCCACCAGATTTTTTTTATCTTTAATGTACAACTAGGGAGAAAAAGTATAGCTGGAAATTTTGAAAGAGTTACTACTTTGGAGAGTTTTTATGCTTAGTTGTTTTTACTACTTTCTGGATATCTGATACAGTTGTTCTCAGCTAAGGCTTTGCTGAACTTACTGCCTGATAATTCCTAAGTCTGTAAGAGAATATCATACTTACTTCTGAGACATTCCATGACTCTTAAAAGATTGGCCTTTTGTCCTTCAGTCTGTCATTTTCATATGTGGCCTTCTCGGTTGGCATAACCCATGACTTATTAGTGAAACTCCCTAATAGTTTCTGATTTGCAAACGTGAATTTTAAGCCATCAATCATGTCAAATTCAATCTAAACGTTTCTTTTGTATAATTTTTCAGTGTTTCTTTATGTGACTTTTTTTGAGGTCACAGAGAATGGTAGATCCATTTTAATATAGATCTCTTGATCTTCTGTACTCATTTTACAAGTCTTTGTAACTTTATAACTTTGTCTACCTAAATACTTAAATAATATATATCACAAGCAGTCTTCCTGAAATCAATTGACAAAATATTGTTTTGTCAAATAAAATGTATAATCTTATAGATTTTATAATTTTATAGAGTATAGGTTGATTTCTAATAGAAGTATTAGAAACAGTGAGGTCTGTCTAAAGATACATACATAATGTTAACCTGGCATCTTTTATTCTCCTAGGTTACTTTTTAATTGGTCCATGTCTCTTCCCTGCAATATGGTTTTGAAGAAAGCTGTTGACAGTCTACTTTGCTCCATGTGTCATATACATCCAAATTATTTTTCTTTGCTCATGGGCTGGATGGGAATTACCCCTCCTCCAGTGCAGTGTCATCACAGACTGTCCATGACTGATGATAGCAAAAAGCAAGATCTTACTTCATCCTTAACAGATGACTCTAAAAATGCACAAGCACCTCTTGCACTAACTGAATCACATTTGGCGACCCTTGCGTCCTCTTCTCAATCTCCAGAAGCTATCAAACAGTTATTGGACTCAGGTTTGCCTTCTCTTCTTGTGAGGAGTCTGGCTAGTTTTTGCTTTAGTCACATTTCTTACTCAGAAAACATTGCTCAGTCAATAGATATTTCTCAGGACAAGCTCAGGCGGCATCATGTTGCACAGCAATGTAATAAGATGCCTATCACAGCGGACCTGGTTGCTCCTATTCTTAGGTTTTTGACAGAAGTTGGCAGTAGCCATGTTATGAAAGACTGGCTCGGTGGGTCTGAAGTCAATCCACTGTGGACAGCACTTCTGTTTTTATTATGTCACTCTGGGTCTGCTTCTGGAGGACATAATTTAGGTGCCCAACAGACTAGTGCAAGATCAGCCTCTCTTTCTTCAGCTGCTCCAACAGGACTGACTACTCAACAGAGGACGGCAATTGAGAATGCGACTGTTGCGTTCTTTCTGCAGTGCATTTCATGCCACCCTAATAATCAAAAACTGATGGCCCAGGTAAGATTAGAAAAATTGGCTTATGTTTTAGGCATCTTATTTTAATACACTGTTAAATAACACTAATGAAATTAGTTGAGAAAGGGGTATGTGTTACAGGTGATGATGTAGTTTGGGATCCGGTGCATCAAAGGATCTGTATTTATTTATTTATTTATTAAAGACTTTATTTATTTATTTATTTAATTGACAGAGAGAGAGAGCGCATGAGAGGGAACACAAGTAGGGGGAGTGGGAGAGGGAGAAGCAGGCTTCCGGCCAAGCAGGGAGCCCGATGCGGGGCTCGATCCCAGTACCCCAAGATCATGACCTGAGCCGAAGGCAGTCGCCTAACCAACTGAGCCACCCAGGCGCCCCATAAAGGATCTGAATTTAAACCATACTTAAAGTATTGATATCTGCTCCCTCCTCCTCTCAAGTGTCACATATTCCTTTGGATGAAATAATGGGCAAATTAATGGCGATTCTAGCTGTAATTGATACATTCCTCCTTTTAAACTCACAACCCCCCCAATCCAATAAAAAGAACAAGCCCAGAAGAACAGCACTTCAGCTTCTGAAAGAGGATTGACCACTTGAAGGTGGTCATTGAGCATCTCATCTGTAGTGAGGCTTTGTGTTTTGTTGTTAACTGGATTGCTACAACTCTTGATTTGCTTCTAATGAAGCAGACATTAGGATAGTTTTCAGATAGGAGACTCTTGACAAAACACATTAAAAATGTAAGAGATGATTTTATTGTAGTAAGTCCATGGGGCCAAAATCTTGAAAGTTAGAATTATTTCAAGAAGAATTCTAGTTGATTTTTGCCAGATTCTGCTCCTTTCTAGCTGTTTTGACTTTCATCAGGTTGTTTAGCCTATAAAATGGGAATGGTAATACCTGCCTCAAAGATTGTTTTTGAGACCATTAAAAACCGTAATGTATATAAGGTAACTAGCATAGAGCCTGTCTGATATCTGGTAGGCACCAATAAATAGGAATCAGCTTCTTTTTTTTTTTTTACTCCATGATTTGGAGTGCTTATTCAGGCCTGACTATTAATATCTAGAAGGATAGTTATAATAATTTTCAAAAAATACTGATTTAACTTTATTGAGAAGAATAACAAGATACTTTACTGTCAAAAGTAATTATTGTGAAACGATATCTGCTTAATGTGCCTAATTAAAAGGAAATGGTTAAATTATCAGTTTTAACCAAGGACAGGAGTATTTGAAAATTTGGCTTGTCCCTCTGGATAGCATGAGAACTCTGTGACTTGTTGCTTTCTGGCTTAATTTTCATCTCTCAGCTTCTTAATAAGGCTTTATGTTATATTTCTAATACCCTTTTTTCCGTAATTTTTATTGCATTGTAACTACATTGATATTGACTAAAGTTAAAAGTAACTTGGTTATGCTAGGTATTTTATTATGTGAAAACCCTGTAGTAGTAATTTCTCTTATTCACAGGAATTTTCTGTGGGGATGGTCTTTTTTATTCTCTAAAGTACAAAGGTGCAGGTAAATAGTGCACTTAACTTTTTAAATCTCTTTACTTGCCAGGTTCTCTGTGAACTCTTTCAGACATCTCCTCAAAGAGGGAACCTTCCAACATCAGGGAACATTTCGGGGTTTATACGTAGATTATTTTTGCAATTGATGCTGGAAGATGAGAAAGTGACAATGTTTCTTCAGTCTCCTTGTCCAGTGAGTATTTAACAGTTAAATAAATCTTAATAATTAGCTCTGTGCAAAGACATTTCATAATTTCATATCAGAACCTGGTGTCACCTCTACATCTTAATTTCTTACATAACAAACAAACTAGAATAACCTCTATACTCAATGATAGGACTTAAAAATCTCTTTTGGATAACCCTTCTTGTGATGAGTAGCCTAATTTACCCTACCATGAAAAGTATAATTTGGTTGGGGGAAAAAGTGACTGATTATTAGGTACAGTGGTGCTAATACAAAAGTTGACCAACAAATCAAATGGCAAATGCACCATATTTTAAAATATTACAAAATAAACCTTTTATATTTTGTGTGCATTTAAAATTTTTTATTCTTTTATGCTTTTGAAATTGTTTTATAATGATACATGTATCAAAAAAATCACTTCTTGATTTCTTTTGAATTTTCAGCTGTATAAAGGTAGAATTAATGCCACAAGCCATGTCATCCAGCATCCAATGTACGGAGCAGGCCATAAGTTCCGAACACTTCATTTACCAGTCTCAACAACATTATCAGAAGTTCTTGACAGAGTGTCAGGCAAGTCAGATTTAAGTATTAATTTGTCTTTGACTTTATGATGGATTATATAGAATTTTGTTATTTTTTGTAACTTTATTTTACTGCATCTACTCACTCAGCAACTATTTAATGAATAGAAAAGGTCAATATGTCTTCGCATTTTGAAGCGCGAGTAAGAAGCTGATGAAGGGGACAAAATGGACAATACATTCTAGCACCTGTAGTTCTTTTGGTGTCATGTGTGTTATGTGAGGTAATGACAGAATGGACAGTTGGAAATGTTGACAAGCCTTGGGAAGCCATTGATGGGATTTTCTCACAAACCATCTGGCTGTCTTATAATAGATGATTTGCAGGCCATTAGTTGGGATGGCAGGACTCCAAATAAACGTTTACTAGCTCTCAGGACGAAATGGTCAAGAGAGAAGAATGAAGTAGATAGATCAGATTGGTGACCTTATTGTTTATAATAGTGAAAAAAGCAGAAAGAAAGTTTCCCTTAGGTTCTTGCCTATATTCTAAGATGAAGATGATGCCTTTGAACAGCATACAGGTTATTAAAATAAAAACAGTTTTTGATGGCAGAATGCAAATCCACTGTAGAAAGTTTGATTTTATTGCCTCTCAGAAATCCTGTGAATGAAATCAGTGTTGAATTGATTGAGCATCTTCTATGTCTAAGCACAGTAATCAGCCCTGAGGGTATAAGAGAAAGCAAGACACACACTCTGCCCCTCAGAGTATTATGATCTTATGTATGTTATCAGATTAAAAAATAAATGAAATTTAAGAATGTTTGCATTCTAATACAAATGTAAGTATGTATGTTCCTATCTGTATGCATTTTAAGGGGATACCTAAGCTTACAACTGTAGGAAGTTAGGAGTATCTCAGAAAAAAACTTAACGTCTATTTATCAGTGGGCAATAGAAATCTAAGCTTAGAATAAAAAACTGGATTGAAGAGATTTCGAGGTTGTCACCATACATAGGTAGTAGGTTAAACCATGTGCATGGATGTGATCGCTATGAGAAAATAAAGTAGAAAAGAATCTTTTTTGGCTTTAGTCACTGCATCTAACCCAAGTGTGTATGTAATACTCTAATTCTTTTCTTGTTACAAGTTATAGGATAAAATGTTAGAATACTATTATAAGTGCATATATAACATTTGTTCTTATTTGAAAATGTCTACCTTATCCTGTTACAGCTAAAGTTTTTTGAAAATTTTGAGTTTACATACTTTTTTCTGCCATAGCCTTGAAATTGTTCCTTCTACATGGTGAAGAAAAAAATGAATAATGAATTAATTAAATGAAAGAAGGACAAGTGGGGAAGAGTACTAAAGTTCAGTTATTGTGATTTCTTACATTTAACTTGATCGTAGAGAAGTAATAGACATTATTACAAAATAATTATTCAGAATAAAAATAGGGCATCTGGGTGGCTCAGTTGGTTAAGCGAATGCCTTCGGCTCAGGTCATGATCCTGGAGTCCCGGGATCAAGTCCTGCATCGGGCTCCCTGCTCAGCAGGGAGTCTGCTTCTCCCTCTGACCCTCCCCCCTCTCATGCTCTCTCTCTCTCTCTCATTCTTTCTCTCAAATCTTTAAAAAAAAAAAAAAATAAGGAATAGTTCCCTTTATTACCTACATATTTAAAAAATAAATTGATTGCTTTTTAAGAATACTACTCTTAGTAAAAAGTCCAACAGAGTCATCCTGAGCAAACACCAGAAGTTTCCAAGTGCTGAATTTAACCTTTATTTAGCAGTGTTTTGGTCTTTTAAGGCATGTTTATGATCTTTAGCCATATTTGATGATATATTTACATGTCTATATTTTATCAATATAAAAACAAAAACAAGTAATCCAAAATTACTTAATTTTATCCACTTCCTATAGCTTTTCACTACATTGCTTTCAAATAATAAAAGTCGTGTGTCAGTATTTTTGCTTTTACAAATTTCTCTCACTGCTTTTAAGCAGTTTGATTGTTATATGCCTTGTAGTTTTTGCGGGGGGGATGCAGGTTTGTTGACTTTCTTGACTCTGGATCTATAAATTTCATCAAATTTGGAATTTTTTTAAAAATTTAATTTTTTTTTTTTGTAAATACTGTCTCAAATATTTTCTTTCTCCCTGTTTTTCTCCTCTCTGGGTAATTCCAGTTACACATTTTTATTAGGCCTCTTGAAGTTGTTTCACAGCTCACTGAAGCTCTGTTCATTTTTTCCCCCAACTTTTCCCCCCTCTCTTTATATAATCTCCTTGTCCTTATCTAAAGTGTATAAGCTTTCCTCTATCATCTTAAACACACTGGTCTGTTTATATTGATTATCTTTTCCTTATGGATTGTATATTACTGCTTTTTTATTTGCCTAGAAAAAAAAATTTTTTTTAAGATTTTATTTATTTGACAGACAGCGAGAGAGGGAACACAAGTAGGGGGAGTGGGAGAGGGAGAAGCAGGCTTCCCACTGAGCAGGGAGCCTGATGCGGGGCTCGATCCCTGGACCCCAGGATCATGACCTGAGCCAAAGGCAGACACTTAATGACTGAGCCACCCAGGCGCCCCTGTTTGCCTAGAAAATTTTATTGGATGCCAGGCAATGTGATTTCTTCTTTTTTACTTCTTTTGGGTGCTCGATATTTTTGTATTTTAATAAATATTTTTTATTTTGTTTTGGGTTAAAGTTATAGTAACTGAAAACATTGTTGCTTTTAGAGCCGACTTTTAAGTTTTATTAGGTAGACAAGAGCTGCTTTTAATCTAGAGCAGAACTTATTGTGATGATGGAAGTTTTTTTTTATAAACTTACGCTGTCTAGTACAGTAGCTCTCAAGCACATGAAATGTATTTGGTGAGACTAAGGAACTAAATTTTTAATGAATTTAATTTTTAAAAGGTGCTATATTGGAATAGAAGTAGGGTACCACATTTGAAAATGAAGGTTTAGGGCTACTTTGGCCTCACTAATGAGGTAATACCCTTCTGAGAACTCTGTTAGGAATGCAGTAGGCATTGGGAACACCATATATTACAGCCCTTATTTTAGACCCTGGGGTTGGTCCCCTTGTTACTTTTGAGAAGTACTTTCCTTGGCCTTTGGTGATTTCCTCATATAAAATGCTCAGAGACACTAGGTCTCTGGAGCTCTCTCTCTCTGCAGATCTCTCCTCCCTGGCAATGTGACCTAAAAACTGCAGCCAGCTGATTTTGTCTTCCTGGGTTCCCAGTCCCTGTCCCCACCTTGGGTGACTCCTGAGTTGTGCCAGTCTGTGGCCTGGGAAACTCTAGGCAGTCAGCTGTAGAAGTCCTAGGGCTCGCCTCATTAGCTTTCACTCACACAGGCATCCCTCTCCGGTCTTCCTAATGGCCATTGTCTGAAAACTATTTAATGTACTTTCCTAGTTTTTAGTTATTTCAGGTAGGAGAGTAAATCTGGGTGTTGTTATTTTATCTTGACCAGAAGTGGTAATCCAAACTAGAACAATTTAAACAACGTTGAGAAAATTTTTCTTAGTGATATTTTTAAGTATTTGGCATTTGCTAGGATAACATTATGTTAAGTTCTTAGCACCTAATAATGATCTTTACTGGTTTTCCTGAAAATACTATGAATACTGTGAATTAATTGTGTGAATTTTTTATTATTTAAGTATTTCATTCTGACTTCTGTAACTGTTTTGACATTTGGGGTTGCTTGGAAGAAAGTTAATGTATTGTTGCATTCTCTATTTATTGTTTATAGTATTTACAGAATTTTTAAATTTCACAAAAAAACGGAACTCTCTAAAGGCAGTCTGCAGTTAGGAATGAACTCCAGAAATTGAGATCACAGGGATCTTTTCACACATTCAAAGATAGCTAAAGAGTAGGAAATAATACAAAACATAACTTTTTTTTAAAGATTTTATTTATTTATTTGACAGGGAGAGACACAGCGAGAGAGGGAACGCAAGCAGGGGGAGTGGGAGAGGGAGAAGCAGGCCCCCCGCAGAGCAGGGAGCCTGATGCAGAGCTTGATCCCAGGACCCTGAGATCATGACCCGAGCCGAAGGCAGACGCTTAATGACTGAGCCACCCAGGCACCCCCATTACATGATTTTTTTTTTTTTTTTAAGATTTTATTTCTTTATTTGAGAGAGAGACAATGAGAGACAGAGAGCGTGAGAGGGAGGAGGGTCAGAGGGAGAAGCAGACTCCCCGCCGAGCAGGGAGCCCAATGCGGGACTCGATCCCCGGACTCCAGGATCCTGACCTGAGCCGAAGGCAGTCGCCCAACCAACTGAGCCACCCAGGCGCCCCCATTACATGATTTTTAATACCATGCCATATTCCAAAGTAATGAAAGAAAACATTAATTCAAAGAGTTTATCTTATTTAAAGTCCTTATTAGTATTTGTTTTTAAAGTATCTAAGTTTCCTATGTTAAAAATAGCAAAACAAATCTTCATTACCGAACTGTGTTCCTTTCTACTCCTGTTTATAAAATAAGGAGTCTAATATAATGCTTTAGGATGAGTCCTGAGCTTGAATTCCATATTTGCCATTAATAGGTTAGATCAGTAACCTTGCTAAAGCCTGTTTCCTTATTTTGAGAATAGTATTCTTTCTTGATACGCATGTTGTGAAGACAAAATTACATGTTGGTGGCAGGCACATTGAACTGTGCCTAAAATAAAAGAAATTTGGTAATAGTTTCTCCTTGCCTTGAGGTAATACCACTGTAATTTGTAATGTTTTCTAGAGATGGGAATTTAAGTGTCCTGGCTTATGAACAGTGGTGATTCCATTACATTGATACCAGCAAGGATTGACTGTTAGGCTTTACCTCATCAGTTTCTTCTAAATGCATTTACATTCCGTCCATATTAGTGATAATATCTTGTGTAATCTTTGTTTTGAAACCTTTGTAGCTTCCTTCTTAATGACTTTAAAAAGCAGTGTATTTTAGGTAATATTTTCTTACAGATACACCAAGTATCACTGCTAAACTAATTAGTGAACAGAAAGATGACAAAGAAAAGAAAAACCATGAAGAGAAAGAAAAAGTTAAGGCAGAAAATGGATTTCAGGACAATTACAGTGTTGTTGTTGCTTCAGGTACGCTTTCTGTTTTTTATAATGTTGATTTTGTTTGAGTTTTTTTTTAAATATGACAATACATATTTATAGGAACGTCATGTAATAAAAAGTATTAATGCAGAAAGCTGACTTGTAATGATGTTTTAATACTGGATGTGAAAACATTGCACCTGAAATCTGTTACTCGTTGGCAGTGTAATTATTACACTTATTTTATATCCAAAACTTAATATAGTTCATCAGATACTGAACATTTGTGAATTGTTTAGGTACTCCATTTAAGCTTGAACAATGTACAGAGAATTGTGCTCAATACTGTCAGGAGATGAAGAAGACAAAATGGTCAAGATAACTGATCAATTTGGAGGATATTTTCTATAACATAAGTGAGATGATTTTAGTTCAAAGAAGAAGGTTTAGTCTGTATTACTTTACTCCTCAAATAGGAGATCTCTGTATTGGTGGAATTTATTCTATTTCAGAGAAGAATTGTGAGATTTCCTGCACATACACAAAAATTCTTTCTAGTAAATGGGCAGTCATCTCTATCTCAGAGACAGTAGAATTTAGCATTGTTTTTTACTCTCTTGAAAATAGTTAAAACGTGAAACCAAAATTCATGGTGTGTCATGAAGGGCAAATAAAATTGGGAGATAAAAATCAGAAGAAATATTTCTGTCTTTTGGCATTAGCTAGGAATGTGATGCTTTTTAAAAATATTGTAGAAATGCCCTTTTATTTCATTAGTGTGTTGGCTATCTATAGAATCTTCCTGATTCTTCTAGGGCTGAAATCCCAGTCTAAACGGGCTGTGTCAGCTACACCACCTCGTCCGCCATCCAGGAGAGGGAGGACAATGCCTGATAAAATAGGAAGTGCTTCTTCAGGAGCAGAGACTGCCAACAAAATAATTACTGTCCCAGTGTTTCACCTGTTCCACAAACTCTTGGCAGGTAATGTTCACAATATTTAAAAATAAGAAAAAATTTTGAAGACATGTAATTACCAGATTCCTGTTTAATCAAGTGCTTGTGATGAGATAAACATACTGTTCCCTCTTAAAAAAAAATGAGAAAAGGAGTAACCTTTTACATATCCTTTTTAACATTATAATGTTGCATATTTACAGCTTACTGGTTTCCTAAATTTTGCTGTCAATGTGCTATAAAATCACTAATACTTCAAAGAGTTCATAACAAGTTGTATAGGAAGCAGTGTGAGGCAGATTTTGAAGAACTGGTTATAGTAGTGGAATTCTTTGCCATACCACTGATAGTTAAGCAATATTTTCTCCGTAGGTGATACGTATTCTTTGACCAGTATACTTTCCATTGGTCAAGGTGATACCCAATTTATCTCCATTTTTGTGCCATATTGTTATAATCAAATTGCCAACTAACTTTGAAAGGATTTTCCTTCTTAGCTTTATGTTATTGATTTATAGCAGAGATCAACAACGTATGGCCAGTAGACTGAATCCCTCTCTATTAAAAAAATATTTTTTAAAGTTTATTTTTTTTTAAGATTTTATTTATTTTAGAGAGAGAGAGCTCAAGCAGGGGGAGGGGCAGAGGGAGAGAAAATCTCAAGCTGACTTGCTGTTGAGTGTGTGGAGCCTGATGTGGGGCTCAATCCCACGACACTACGATCATGACCCAAGCTGAAATCCAGAGTCAGATGCTTAACCAACTGAGCCACCCAGGCTCCCCTCTATCTCTAAAAAGGCTTTATTGAAATACAGCTATGCCCATTTATTTGTGTATCGTCCATAGCTGTTTTCATACCACAGTGGTAGAGTTAGTAGTTGCAGCAGAGACCATATAGTCTTCATAGCTTAAAATATTTATTATCTGGCCTTTTAGGGAAAAGATTTTGCCAACCCCAGATTTGTAGGAATGTCTGTTTCTTTGTTTCTTGCTATGGCTCAGAAGGTCTTGGTGGGATTTGATTAGTGACTAATACTTTCTATAGACAATATTGTTCACATGTATCAGAAATAGATTTCTGTAAACTCCATGTGCTGATTTTAAATTTTTAAATTAGTGTCAGAATCAGAAGCTTAAGGTGCAGTTCAGTAAAAACAGTAACTGACTAAATCAAACCAAGTAAATGTCTCCCTCTTGGATTCTAGATTTAACTTAGTTATGTCATTTTTAGGCCAGCCATTGCCAGCAGAAATGACGCTTGCCCAACTCTTAACTCTCCTTTATGACCGAAAACTTCCTCAAGGTTACCGTTCAATAGACCTGACTGTTAAATTGGGATCTAGAGTTATCACAGACCCAAGTCTGTCAAAAACAGACTCTTTTAAAAGGTTACACCCTGAAAAAGGTATGTATGTGATATTCCTTTAAAATTACAGTCCATGATCCAAGAAGAAGGGATTTCTGTAGCTGATGACTTAATTTACTTTGTTTTTATTATATCAAGCTAACAAAGTATTTTTCTTCGTGATAGAATTATTTATAGATATAAAAAATTGCTCTTATTTTCACTAGAAATTAATCTTAATTTCTCTTACAGCATCACTTATTTTATGAACACATATGCTTTATTGTTAGCCTTTTGCATTCTTTAGTAAATTTTAGAATATTTCCTTTGCTCGGTTTTCAGGAGGATTATTCGGGGGTTTTCTAGTGGTTATAGAATCTAGTTAAGTGTAAACATACTAACCTTTTGGTTTTCTTTGGTGAGTGATTCAAAGTTAAATCAATATGGTGTAATTTTTTTTTTAATATTTATTTATTTGACACACAGAGATAGTGAGAGCAGGAACACAAGCAGGGGGAGTGGGAGAGGGAGAAGCAGCCTTCCTGCCGAGCAGGGAGCCCAATGTGGGACTCAATCCCAGGACCCTGGGATCATGAACTGAGCCAAAGGCAGACGCTTAATGACTGAGCCACCCAGGCACCCAGTATAGTGTAATTTTTAGTTTTCAGTATGAGAAGTCTTTGTTGGTATTCAGTTTTTCCTAATTGGATACTTCAGAACATGATGTACATATGTTAGTATTTGCTTTGATTCTCTGCAGAGTTACTTATTTTTACATGCATTATAACTTAGAAATATGCCCTAAAGGACAATGCTTCTCAAACTTAAAAAATATGCTTATAAATTACCTACAGAACACTGTTAAAATGCAGATTCTTATTCAGTAGGTCAGGGGTGGGACCTGAGATTCTACATTTCAGAAGCTCTTAGATGATGCCAGTGCTCATATGCCAATGACTGTACTTTGAGTAGCAGGACTTTGAGAGGCAACATCAGAAATGATTTAAAAATTACTGTAGCATCTAGCCTTAAAGCTTTATCTGAATAACCTAAGATATTTATGCTCTTTTGTTGAGTAGAGAGGTGACAATAAGATCTGCTTTGTAAATGAAAGATTATTATAAAAAGAGACCCTTTCTCACCTGTTACTTGTAATTTATTGTTCTAGATCATGGAGACTTACTTGGTAGCTGTCCAGAAGATGAGGCTCTCACTCCAAGTGATGAATGTATGGATGGGATATTGGATGAATCTTTACTTGAAACCTGTCCCATTCAGTCACCATTACAAGTTTTTGCAGGAATGGGTGGACTGGCTCTTATTGCAGAAAGACTACCCATGCTATATCCAGAAGTAATTCAACAAGTAAGATAAGATTCCTAATTGAATATATCATCCCATGGCAAAGCCCTTTGTTCTCTTTTATTGCTTTTTTAGAAAAACTCACTTGTGTTAACCTTTTGGGAGTACCCTTTCCCTTACACTCCTTGAGCATCATATAATTTCAAAGGTCAGCCTGTACAGAGCTTTGTGAGAATTAGTTGGTACCAAAAAAATGCTGATGGCCGAGCACATTTGCCAAACTCATTATGCTGCAGCATTTACCTTGATTTTATGGTCGTCACACTGTAGCATTTTTATTTCTGTGCTTCTTCGGGCATATTAATTATGGATATCACTGGAAATGGGAGAGTAAGATGGTAGTGTATACTGCTACCCAAATGCATTGTCTTTTTGTTTAACTGTTTTTCCTGTTTTAGGTACCATTTCTATTTCAGGTAGCTTTAAAAACATACTGCTTTAACCTCTTTACTGTTAATTAATTTTGCTATTATGGATGTATGTATTTTCAGTGCTCTTTTATTAATGTGGAGGGAGTATGGCTCATGGAAAGTTGTAATTACAAAGCACTTTATGTTTATTGAATGAAGTAGGGAAATTATTCCCTGTAATTACATGTACTGAGTATATATATATATATATATATATATATATTAGTTTCCTAGGGCTGCTGCAACAAAGGACCACAAACTGAATGGCCTGAAACAACAGAAATTTATTCTTTTACAGTGTAGGGAAGCTATAAGTCTGAAATCAGGTTGTCACCAGACCCATGGCCCCTGTGCAGGCTGTGGGGAAGAATCCATCCTTGTCTCTTCTTAGCCACTGGTGGTTGCTGGCACTTGGCATTCACTGGCTTGTAGCTCCACCAGTCCGATTTCTGCGTGTATTTTCACACGGCCATCTTTCTCGTCAAAGACACTGAAGACAGTTGTCATGGATTTAGGATCCACCCTGATCCATTTGCAGGGACCCTAGTTCCATACTGATGTAGAGTAAGAAATGAATGAATAAATAGGTGGAGAAGGGAACATTTTTACCTACAGTTCAGGGCCAACTAATAAATGTAGAAGGAATGATGGAAAGTCACCATTTGACACCCAATGTAATAATTACTGTTTTAGGCAAGAATTTTTAAAATGCTAATTCTAATTGATCAAAGTTTGGGGAGAAACAAGATACATAGATAGCCTCAAAGACTCTGTCTACAGATTCTTAACTAATTATAAAGGATAAAATAGTAACTTTATTTATAAATAAATGTATGGATGTGTGTATCTAAAGTAGAGATACGTGGCAGATACCACCACACTCATGATATAATTTAATTCCTGATGATTTGGAAGCTTTTTAAAAATACGTCCCTTTATTGGTCCTTTTATTCCTGTATTTGAAAGAGATCGTTTAAAATCACATCTTTAATTTGAGCCTAATGTTGAAACACACAAATAGCCAAGCAAAAATTTTCTTTTTTTTTAGGTAAGTGCTCCAGTGGTGACTTCTACCACTCAGGAAAAGCCAAAAGATAGTGATCAGTTTGAATGGGTGACCATTGAACAGTCAGGGGAATTAGTTTATGAAGCACCAGAAACCATTGCAGCTGAACCTCCACCTATCAAATCAGCAGTACAGACCATGTCTCCCATTCCTGCCCATTCTTTGGCTGCTTTCGGATTATTTCTTCGTCTTCCGGGCTATGCTGAAGTCCTACTGAAAGAGAGAAAACATGCCCAGTGCCTTCTGCGACTGGTATTGGGAGTGACGGATGATGGAGAAGGAAGTAAGTGTTTAGAATTATTAATGAAATTTAACATAGGTTGTGTAAAAGTTATTCAGATCCGTGCTTATTATTCATTATTTCTTTCACAGGAAAGCTACTAGATCATTTGTTCTTGGTAGTTTCATTCTAATGATACATACAACAAGCCCTAAAGAATCTTCATTTTCATTACTTTTTCATTCAAAATGTATTCATTGTTTACAAAACTGTTGGGCAGCATCAGAGGCAGTCAAAAATGAAGGAGGTATTTAGATCCTGCCCTCATGTAGCTAATGTTCTCCAGTAGTAGCAACAAGCAGTACATATAAGCATAGACTTAACAAGTTACAAAAGACTTGGGAGAAGTACAGTACTGTGAAGGCTCACAGGTATGAGACCATTTCCTTACTACCCAGCTATGTGAGTAAAGTGGCAGAGTAATTTTTAGTAGGGCCTTGAAGGATAGTCCATTTAAATAGGCTGAGATGAGCTAGAAAGAAGATGATTTGAGCAGTGTTTGTGTGCTCAGATTAAATGAGAGAGGATAAGTTAGCTGATGAAAATTTACATAAAAAGCACTGAGAGCTCATTCTAAAAACTATTATTGATAACAGATTGTGGAAAGTCTTATTAAGAACTTCAGATTTTAGAGCGCCTGGGTGGCTCAGTTGGTTAAGCGACTGCCTTCGGCTCAGGTCACGATCCTGGAGTCCCGCGTTGGGCTCCCCGCTCAGCGGGGAGTCTGTTTCTCCCTCTGACCCTCCCCCCTCTCATGTGCTTTCTCTCTCTGTCAAATAAATTAAAAAAATCTTTAAAAAAAAAAAGAACTTCAGATTTTTTTCTGAATAGTAATGAAAATTTATTAAAACGTATAAACCAAGTCATGATATGATGATAATCTTTCTTAAGAAAGTGAATCTGGAAGCAGTGTTTAGACTAAAGAGAACAGAATGTGGAAAGTAACATTATATAATAATTTATTTTGTAATATAATATTACAGAATAATAATAAAAAAAGATAGTAGGAAGGGAAAAAATGAAGGGGAGAATTGGAGGGGGAGATGAACCATGAGAGACTATGGACTCTGAGAAACAAACTGAGGGTTCTAGAGGGGAGGGAGTGGGGGATGGGTTAGCCTGGTGATGGGTATTAAAGAGGGCACATATTGAATGGAGCGCTGGGTGCTATACGCAAACAATGAATCATGGAACACTACATCAAAAACTAATGATGTAATGTATGGTGATTAACATATAATAAAATAAAATTTAAAAAAACTGTGGCAATTGTTTCCATTGGGCTGGCAATTTTATTTAATATAAAGGAACGTAAAAGAAAAGTCATAATTTAGGGTAGCCTAGCAAGTAGATTTTCAATCAGGTTACCTGTGATTATTCAGTTAATAACCATTCCATCTGAAAATTAATTGTTCTTAATTTTAAAATCACATGGTTTTGATTAGAGGTGAAGTCTGTCACATGCCAGCTAGAATACTGTTAAACCCTTACTACAAAGTATATTTAATCCAATAAAACTATGTGAATTTATTTGTGGATCCTATAACTCTGAAGCTATTAAATATTCAAAGTACATATTTTACAAAAAGCACATTCTTTTCTTTTGAATTTTCATGTTGATGGAATTCTTAAAACAGTGGTGACATTGGGACACCTGGGTAGCTCTGTCAGTTAAGCATCTGCCTTTGGCTCAGGTCATGATTCCAGGGTTCTGGAATCAAGTCCCACATTGGGCTCCCTGCTCAGCAGGGTGCCTGCTTCTCCGTCTGCCTGCCGCTCTCCCCTTGCTTGTATGCACACTCTATTGCTGTGTCTCAAATAAATAAATGAAATCTTTAAAAAAAATGGTGACATTATTTTAAATGTTTTTCTAATAACTTATTAAATTACATACTATAAATAGTCTTGGTTGTTTGGTTTCATATATAAACTATATACCTATTTCAGTAGATCAGGAATTTTTTTTAACTTAAGTAGATAAAGAGATACGTTTTATTTTGGTACTCTATCACAAAATGATAAGCAGAAAATTGTCTTTATATCATTTCACGCTTTTTTTTAGTGAATATACAGTGAATGTTTATTAAAAAGTATAATACTGATATCCGTTGTCTCATCCACCGTTCATGTAGTGGTGGTTTTTATTTTGGTTTGGTTTGGGTTTTTTTTGTTTAACATTCCTTTCTAAAGCTAGATGTAGTAGCAAACTGTATCACAGACCAAATAAAATGGTTTCACTCTTTCATTACTTGTTCATGGTGGAAACTATTCCCAAGGCAATCAGGAACTTTAAATGCTTCTATTTTAGTTATTAGGTTTCCGTTCAGTTTCTCATTTATAATAATATTGACGTAGTCTATATTAATTATCATATGTATATATTTCAACTTTTATTTGTTTACATATACTATGTCTTAAAGAGATTTTCCAGATACTTCTTATTATTAAACTTCCAGATATTATTCTGTTTGTGGTCTTTGGGTTGTTTTTTTTTTAAATAAATTTAATGATATATGTTATGTTGTCACTATTAATTTGTGACCTGTATATTGTTCCTTATTGTGTTCTTAAATATTTTTAATTTTGAGTTCTCTTTTCTTAATCTAGGTCATATTCTGCAATCTCCATCAGCCAATGTGCTTCCAACTCTTCCTTTCCATGTCCTTCGTAGCTTGTTTAGCACTACACCATTGACAACAGATGATGGTGTACTTCTAAGGCGGATGGCATTGGAAATTGGAGCACTACACCTAATTCTTGTCTGCCTCTCTGCTCTGAGCCACCATGCCCCACGAGTTCCAAACTCTAGTCTCAATCAAGCAGAGGTAAGTTCAGTTTTAATTATTTAGATTATGAAAAAGGTAAGTTAAATTCATGGAGTACAGAATGGAGTTTTTCTGAAATAATATTTCAGAGATTCGTGTATTCCTTCTTTGTTTCTAAAAGGATATTTAAAAGAGAAACTATGAACTAAGTGTTTTCTTCTCCATTAGGCTCTTTTAGAAACCATAAGTTAATCCATCTACTTGAAAAACAAAGATTTAATAGCTTAAGAAGCTTTCCCATTTACCAGGATATGCTGAATTTATACGGTAATCTCTCTAGAAAATCCAAAAATAATTAATGGTATAAGTGAGTTTAATGAGGATACAGTATCCAGGTTCAGTATTTTTAAAATAAGTTACTTCTGGGGCGCCTGGGTGGCTCAGTCGTTAAGCGACTGCCTTCAGCTCAGGTCATGATCCCAAGGTCCTGGGATCGAGCCCCGCATTGGGCTCCCTGCTCAGCGGGAAGCCTGTTTCTCCCTCTCCCATGCCCCCTGTTTGTGTTCCCTCTCTCGCTGTCTCTCTCTCTGTCAAATAAATAAATAAAATCTTTAAAAAAATAAAATAAGTTACTTCTGTATACCAGCAAGAATCATAAAATGAACTTTTTAAAGATACTTTTTTTAGCACCAAAAGGAGTAAATACCTGTGAATGAATCTAAAAAAATATGTGCAAGACATTTATGCATGAAATATGTGAAGTTTTTTAAAGAAACACTGGTCTTTAATAAACTGAGATCTTTGCTCATGTTTATTTCCATGGGCACAGAAAATAGAACAGTTCAATAATATTTCTTATCAAAGTGATCTTTATGTTTGATGGAATTTCTTATTTATTTTAGAGGAAATTGATAAGCCAGTTCTAATATTTTTGGGGAAATGCAAAGGCTCAAGAATAGCCAAGGCAGTTTCAAAGAACAGTATACCTAGTAGACTTACTATCAAAATTCATTATTAAGCTGTGGTATTAGTACAAGGATAGATTAGAAGCCCAGCAAACAATAGAGACTCCCTGTGTGTTTGGTTATCTGATATGATAGTAGTAACTCTGCAACATAATGGAGTAAGTATGATCTTATCAGTAAATGATGGTGGGGTCACTTAAATGTTCTTGTGGAACAAAAATGAATCTTTAAACCTTAATGTACTCTACATGCAAAAATTAATCTAACTAGATGATAGATCTAAACGTATAGTGCCCTTTTACAAAATATAACAGTGCCCTTTTACCAAAAAACATATACAGATATCTTTATGATCTTAGAGTAGACAGACTTCTTGAAAAGAATATTTAAAAAAGCACTAACCCGTAAGGGGAAAAAATTGAAAAAAAGCAACTATGTTAAAATTAAAAACTTTTTTCATCAAAAACACTAAGGATAGTGAAAAGGGAAGTCACACAATGGGATACCATACATAAATCTGTATGGGAGACGGTAGTTGGTTGTATCTGATGAAGAACTTCTATTCAGAATATTTGGAGAGCTTCAAAAATTACAAAAGGAAAAGGCAGAAAACCCAATAGAAAAATAGGTGAAAGGCTAGAATGGGCACTTACAAGAGGGGCTACCTAAATATCCAATAAATGTGAAAAGATGATCTGTTTCATTAGTTACCAGAAAAGTACAAATGAAAACCTCTAATACACTACAATTACACACCCATCAGAAGGGGTAAAATTCCAAAACCACAGTATCAAATATTGTCCCATCATCATTTGTCATAATTTAAAGTGAGTAGGATGGATAAAGTAATGTGGAGACAGTAGAAAGGATAAGGAAATTGTAGTCTACTATAAAATGGAATACTTTCAGGTGATGAAAGTAAACGGCAACAGCCACCTACACACAATAGCAGTGATGCATTTCACAAGCACAACTAAAATGCCGTGCATAGTGGGATGTATATACAGTGTGACTCCACTTTTATAATGTTCAAAACTAGACAAATTGAAACTAGTGGCTAGAGTTTCATGCTTAGGTGGTAAAATTATAAAGAAGAGTAAGGAGGTAATGAGTATAAAAAATCAGGATTATAGTTAACTTTGTGGAGGAATTGAAGGTTTGTCGAATAGGCAGTGGAGAAGTGGCAAAGTCGTATGTGCAGTAATCTAATTCTTAGCCTGCATAGTTAAGTTTTTGCAGTTCATTAAATTTTTTTGTTTTTTTCTGTGTATATGTTATACTTTATAGATCTTAATAAATAACTTTTTATCAATGGTATTCTGTTGTTAACTGTTTATATGGTAATGAAATTGTCATTCATTTAACAGTTTATCTTATAAAATCTGAAAGATGGCATTTTCAGTCATTTATCCATAAAACTAAATTGCAGGTCAATTTATGAAAGTGTTGTACATAATATTCTTCCTTAGAAAATATTCCCATTAAAAGAAATGAAAAGCATTGGTATTACTTTTAAATAACCCTTGAAACTAATCTTAATTGCAAATGTTTTTGAGTGTACATAGTATATTTAGTGAAAACTCTTTAAAAGAGGATGCTTGTTATAGAATTAATTTTAATTTTACTGTCCACAAAAATAATAATAAAGAATCGACCTTTACAGAGTTTGAGGTTATGTTAATAAAGCCAGCGGTTCTCAGTAATTTCTTTTGTCTATACACCATTCACATTTTTAATATGTCCTCTTTTGCTAAAAGAGATTTTTCTATACATCACATTCTGAATAAGAAAGAAATTGAGAGGGGTGCCTGGGTGGCTCAGTTGGTTAAGCGACTGCCTTCGGCTCAGGTCATGATCCTGGAGTCCCGGGATCAACTCCCACATCGGGCTCCCTGCTCAGCGGGGAGTCTGCTTCTCCCTCTGACCCTCCTCCCTGTCATGCTCTCTGTCTCTCATTCTCTCTCTCTCAAATAAATAAATAAAATCTTTAAAAAAAAAAAAAAGAAAGAAAGAAATTGAGAATTATTCCTTCTAGAAATAGAAGCAATCTTGCTTACTGTGATTGAAAACATAGGACACCATTATAGAATTCTCCTAAGATATGCTTGTACTGGATTCATCCTAAGGGATCTGGCTCATATCCGTATTTCTTTCACTGTTTTCTCTATTTAATTTTAAGTCATTGACACTGTAGTCTTTACTCCGTGTTTTACTGATAAATATTTTAAAATTTTTATTCTTTTTTTTTTTAAGATTTTATTTATTTATTTGACAGAGAGACAGACAACAAGAGAGGGAACACAAGCAGGGGGAGTGGGAGAGGGAGAACCAGGCTTCCCGCGGAGCAGGGAGCCCAATGCGGGGCTCGATCCCAGGACCCTGGGATCATGACGTGAGCCGAAGGCAGATGCTTAACGACTAAGCCACCCAGGCGCCCCTAATTATTTATTGTTAAATAGACACATTGGTTCTCCATTTTCCCCTTCCCGCAGTCCCTGGCAACTACCAGTCTGTGTTCTGTCTCTCTGTATTTACCTACTGTGTGTATTTAATATAAATGGAATGGTATAGTATGTTATCTTTTGTGTCTGTCTTCTTTGACTTAGCATGTTTTTGATGTTCATCCACAAAATAGCGTACGTGTATCATTTTTTATTACTTCTTATGGCTGAGTAATTCTATTGTATGTATATATATCACAGTTTGTTTATACATTCTTCCATTGATGGGTATTTGGGCTGTTTTGATTTTTTGGCTATTATGAATAGTCTTGCTGTGAAAACACATGGACCTGTATTTGAGTATCAGTTTTTATTTCTTTGGTTATATACCTAGGAATGGAATTGCTGGGTCACATAGTAACCCACTATTAAATTTTTTGAAGAGTCCTCAGACTATTTTCTATAGCAGTTGAACTATTTATGTTTGTACTGATAAATATTTTTGAGGGTAAATAAAATCAGTAAGAAGTTTTCGTTTTTTGTTATAAGCCACAGGTATCAAGCTCTCATAACCCTACATCAACAGAAGAACAGCAACTGTACTGGGCCAAAGGGACTGGCTTTGGGACAGGCTCTACAGCTTCTGGATGGGACGTGGAACAAGCCTTAACCAAACAGAGGCTGGAGGAGGAGCATGTCACCTGTCTTCTGCAGGTGTGCTTACAAAGTTGATATTGTCAGGGATAATAGTTAAATTATTTTTTTTCTATTTGTATTGATTTTTAAGTATTGATAACTATCCTGCTCATCCTCAGCTACTTCCGTAAAACATATTATGCTCCTTCCTCTCAGTACATTTAAGATACCACTGGACAAAGATTATTCTTCCCTACTTGTAACTATAAATTTCTTCCCTCTCAATTAGCTTCTTCACTGAGAGGAAAGTGGCAAAGATGAAATTATCCAGTAACTGGAAAATGTACCATATCTACCTCCCTCCAGTCATCTTTTCATCTAAAGTGCTGTGTCTGGACTCTTAAGGAAAAAAAAATTTATTTATATCTTTGTTTCTCATACTGCTTTATTACTTTTCTAGAATCAGGCAAGTTGAACGAGTATGGAAAATCCTGCAGCACCAGTATGAGAAGGGGAGGTGCTTAAATATTAGCTTTAGTCCCTGCATCAACTAATTGACTAAAGGAGGTCAAATCTTGGAGCCTTATTTTCTGCAATTGTAGAATGATAGGCTCATTCTAGTATAAAATTCTAAGATCACTCTCAAAATGTAAATTGAATCTAGTCAATAAAATAAATAATATCAGAATTGCTGCTAAGGTTTTAGTTTGTGTTCTCAGGTGGACTCTTTTCTATGTCTGACTGAGTACAGTATACCATCATGCTAAAAGCACACCCTTCTCTTTTGAAAATCTGAAGAAAAGAATATCTTGTTTTTAAAAGATAGACAGTGACTGACTTGAAAATATAAACTCTTGGTACTCAGATTTAATATCTAACAAAATGTGGGTTTTTAAAGTGTGTGAAGCTAAAATCCAATGTAAACCCAACAATTGTTATTTTTAGGTTCTTGCAAGTTATATAAATCCTTTGAGTGGTGCAGTGAATGGAGAAGCCCAGTCATCTCATGAGAATCGAATCCAGAACAGTAATGCCCTTCCTTCTGTACTTCTAGAGCTGCTCAGTCAGTCTTGCCTCATCCCAGCGATGTCCTCTTACCTACGAAACGATTCAGGTAAATCACATTGTCATTAGTCCTTTGTTTACTTATTTTATCATCTGTTAAAATAATAAGGTACAATTGAAGTATTTGGTATTAGTCTTCCCCAATATATGTAGGTATAAGATTAATGGATTTATTTCTTAAAAATTATTCTGGAGATACTTAGTTGTTTTTAGGGGCTCCTAATTGGATAACTGTGTTGGGACCTGTTCTGGAACACAAAATAAAAGTTTTCATTATCCCTTTGTTTTAACCTGTGAATGTACTGTTTTTAAAAATAAGGTATAACTGAAAATAATAGGGCAAAGGTGGGCAGCTTCATGACCGTATTCTGAGCTAAATATGGTTGATTGAACTTCTGTGCATTTTAATGTTTGTCTCAAACACTATACAATTTCAGATGATGGTAATTTGAAGAAAGGCAGATAATATAAATTATTCTAATCCATAGGTACTTGATAATAAGTACTGAGTTTTACAAATTCAATAATAAAAGTACTATAGTTACTTTCCATTATGCAACTGATAATTGAAACTAGTTAAAATTCTGAAATTAGTTCCAAGAATTGGTATTCTTTTCCCAAATAATAGTAGAAAGTTATATTTTGTTTACAGTTATTGCCAAAAAAAACAAAAAACAAAAAACAAACCAAGCAGTTAATATCTCCTCCTTTTAGCCAAGAACTTTTAGGTTTTTTGTTTTTGTTTTCAGCTGTCTGTTCTGCTTCTTATCTCTGCCTTTATTCATATTCTTACTTGTAAAAATAGAGGTTTACCTATTTAATTAGATTATTAAGGAAGGATAGGTAAGGAAAGTGATGGGAATAAATCTTGAAGTCTGTTTGGTGCTTGGTAGCAGTTTAATGCACAGTTGGACAGGATGGAAAAAGGTCCTTGTATTTGAAAAGGGGTAATTGCCCCTTATCTTCTACCATTGTGGAGATTATTGGGCTTAAAAGCAGATAGTTCTCTAGTCTACCTTAAACTTCCTCATAAAAATGTTGAGGTGATATATTATTTAGATTGATTTTGTTTTTCCTCTGACCTATTTCATACATCACATTTGTCTTTTTTTAAAGTAGATGTCAAATATACAGTATATTTTTTGATTAAGTAAAATATTTAGAGCTATAAAACAGATATTGGTACCAAAATTTAATATTGGATTGTATAAAGAAATTGAATAGAGTGATAAGGTTTTTCTTTATCTCCTTCCACATTATTAAAATATAATTTTATTAATCATTTCACTTTTAAAATGTATATCCTCAAAAATTTTAAAACTTGTTCTATAATTCAGTCTTTGTATAACACTGAGTTTTTATGTTTATGGTTCAGGGTCAGAAAGGAAATCCAGTATTATCTACTTTTACTATTTAAAATAATGTATTCATGTAAGGTGCAATTTCTGGTAAGTATGTATGTTAATAAATTGTGATTTTGGTAACCATCTGGAATTACAGAGACTTTGATACTCTATCTTGGAGCTATTTTAGAATATTAATATGACAAATCAGAGTTTGACCTTTCCTTTGTGACATACTATTTACCTGTAAAAGGTGGGTTGTTTTTTTTTTTCCTCAGCCCAAGGTTTAGATTTATGTGCTTGAATCTGGTACCTTGTCCAGTGGTATAATTGGAATTGATACATTCATATTTGAATGTGCTAACAAATTATTTTGAAATAATATTTTAAGATAAATTAAAGTTAAGATGAGTAGGTCAGATAATTTGGTAGCACACCTCTTAAATGATGTTTTCAGTGATCAGAAAATATTTCTTGAGTTTGGGATGTATTCTGATCGTTTGTTGGTGAGAAAAGTATGCTCATTTAGAATATTCTAAATATGAATTGTTTTTCAGGAAAATATAGCTTCATGTTACATTAGTAAATGTGTTACTTATATAATCAATTTTGGTTAAAATGTTAATTAGTTTTCTAGGTAGCATTTTAAAATCTGAACAAATTATCTAGTCATTTTTCTTGGAACTTAGTAAATTCCAATTTTAAGGGGCACCTGGGTGGCTCAGTTGGTTAAGGACCTACCTTTGACAAGGGTTATGAGCCCAGGATCCTGGAATTGAGCTCCACATCGGGCTCCCTCCTTGATGGGCAGCCTGCTTCTCCCTCTCCACCACTTGTGCTCTATTATACTCTCTCTCTCTCTCTCAAATAAAATCTTTTTTAAAAATTCCAATTTTAGAAAATTAGTCTGTATCCGTTTTCCAGTTTTATCATTTGCCTATAGCATATTATTTTTGGCAGTTTGGGGTGGTGGGATAGGGTAAAGTATCCAGTCTAGAATCTTCTACTTTATTTAGTTGTCATATCTCTTCTCCTTTAATCTGAAACATTTCCCAGCTTTTCTTTGTCTTTCATAATATTGACATTTTTACAGAGTACACCATTTATTTCATCGACTCTCTGGCAAGTTGGTATTTAAGTGTGAGAGCAGTGCTAATAATTTCACTTGTGACATTATATTCAAGGAATGGTTTGCTTACATCACTAGCAGATAATATACAGAAACACAGGCATAATGCAGTAGGCTCTTTTAAGAGCTATAGTCAATAGTGCACATTTCCTTTCTGTTATATGTTTTTAAATGATAGGCGATCAAGACAAGAAAATATAGAAACATACAGTAGTTTATGTTCCACTTTTCATTGATCTGCCATTAACTATGGAATATGGTTTCTTACTCCCTTCCCACCTCCTTTTTGTCCTTTTTCTTTTCCGGCTCCTAATGTACAAGTTAGGTACTTGAAAATCCTTTAACTTTTCTTTTCAATTACTGTTAAAAATCGATATGAATACCAGATTCTACTCCTTGTTTCTTTTTTTTTTTTTTTTAAGATTTTTATTTATTTATTTGCGAGAGAGGGAATGAGAGACAGAGAGCACGAGAGGGAGGAGGGTCAGAGGGAGAAGCAGACTCCCCGCCGAGCAGGGAGCCCGATGCGGGACTCGATCCCGGGACTCCAGGATCATGACCTGAGCCGAAGGCAGTCGCTTAACCGACTGAGCCACCCAGGCGCCCTACTCCTTGTTTCTTTTAATAAAGCCTTCAAGTTCTCATATTGGAAGGCTTGCATTGTAACAAGGAGGTTAGCAATAAGTCTGTTTTATTTTGGTGAAAGTTTAAAAATTGGCCAAAAATTTTAAGCGATTAACAATATGCTGACCATAGTGATAAGCAGTAATTGCACATAGTAATTGATCTTCACTTTTAGCTGTGAACATCTTTGCATCGGAGGTAAAAAAATGAATACTGTCAGTTGCAAAATTATTACCAACATAAAGAGTGCATACTGATTCCTTAGGGGAAAGGACAACCTTTTTTCCATTATTGACCTTCTAACGGTCTGTAACTGAGATACTGATCCTATTCTTCAGAGAGAGGTACTGGTTATATTTATCATTAAATTTGTTAAATTTATTTTCATTTTTTTTTAAAGATTTTATTTATTTGACAGAGAGAGATAGCGAGAGAGGGAACACAAGTGGGGGGGTGGGAGAGGGAGAAGCAGGCTCCCCGCTGAGCAGGGAACCCGATTAAATTTGTTAAATTTAGTCAATAAGTAATTCTCAACATTTTTACTTGTAGCATGATAATATCTTTGCATTATTCATCCAGTATGTTAGTTTTAGGTAAATTTGTAAAATTTAAAAATTACTTGATGCTCTTACGAATGTGTATATATCTGGAGCTTTATACAGACTTACTATTGTTAGGAGAAAATCCTAATTTTTTTTTTTTTTTTAAGATTTTATTTATTTATTTGACAGAGAAAGACACAGTGAGAGAGAGAACACAAGCAGGGGGAGTGGGAGAGGGAGAAGCAGGCTTCCCGCTGAGCAGGGAGCCCGATGCGGGGCTCGATCCCAGGACCCTGGGATCATGACCTGAGCCGAAAGCAGACGCTTAACGACTGAGCCACCCAGGCGCCCCAATATTTCTTTTTTTGTAAATTAACTGTTTCAAGAGGAATTTATTATTATTATTATTATTAACATATAATGTATTATTTGTTTCAGGGGTACAGGTCTGTGATTCATCAGTCTTACACAGTACATAGCGCTCACCACAACACATGCATACCTCCCCAGTGTCCATCACCCAGTCACCCCATCCCCCCAGCAACAGTTTGTTTCCTGAGATTAAGAGTCTCTTATCGTTTGTCTCCCTCTCTGGTTTCTTCTTGTTTCATGTTTTTCAGGAGGAATTTTTAATAACCTGATAGTAGTTTTCCTACCTTTCCTACCTTTTCATATATTGGCCTCTCTCTGTTGGCCTGAAAATGGGTAGAGAAGAAAATGTACAAGTTTGTCGTAAGTTACAGAATGAAGAAATTTTTGGAGTGTTTGGTTTGGCGGCATCACAGGGGTAGTATAAGTCTTCATATTTAGTCTTCAGATTTTCAAATGTTACAGCATGGTTCCAGTTACTTAAAATAGATGAGTACATTTGAAGCTTATTTTAAATAGTTCTTTTTATGCTAACTAAAATAAAGACATCTGTTAGTGTTCTTACTTGGTTTTGTACATTAAATCAACATGAAATCAGTAACATAACTCGGTGTTGGCCAACTACATGTATCAAACAGTTGTTAGAAAAACTATAAAACAGCAAATTGAAGCTAGAGCTTCAAGGTGGGTAATTCAAACAAGTAAGTGAATTAAATGTTTTATCTCCAATATCAATTTTCAAAGGAATGGTAAAAACCCTTAAAGAGAGAAAGTAGGTAGGTAGATAGGAAAATCGTTGTATAAAGAATATGTTCATTTTAGCTTCTGTCTCTCAACATTCTGACTTCTCATAGCCATGTTATTTTGAAAGCTGCCTTGTAAACAAGGATCATTTTTTATTCAAGCCGTGGTTATTAACATTTATGCTATTCAGTAAGCATGCTGTTATCCTGCTGTCCACTAGATGGGGATCCTGTTTCATTGCTAGCAATACTTGGTTAAAAAAAAAAAAACGAGGTATGAATGTAGAATGTTACTTTAG